ACTATCAGGGATTCCTGTGCCCAGTCTGCGATTCTGGTTTTAAGTAACTCCTTAAATATTATTTTGGAAAGGCTAAAATTTTATTTAACATTAAAAATTGAAATTTGGGGCCGGGGATATACCTCATTTGGTAGAGTGCTTGCCTTACATGCAGAAGGTCCTGGGTCAATCCCCAGCACCACAAAAAATAAAATAAAAATTGGAATCTTAATCTAGCATGAATTAACTACCATAAGAAAATGCTTATCAGGGATGGGGATGTAGCTCAGTTGGTAGAGTGCCTGCCTTGCATGCACAAGGCCCTGGGTTTGATCCCCAGCAACACACACACACACACACACACACACACACACACACACACACACAAAAAAAGCTTGTCATTAATTATCTGCATTCCATCATGGATTTTATGTGAAAAATCAGAAAAAAGTCAATTCTTCCTTAATAGTTCAAATTTAAGCATCTGTTTATGCAGTTATACATATATAATAGGTAACAGGTTAATACCATAAGGATAATACATGAAAGGTTATTTACAGTATGAGAGATGTAACAAGGATTTCCATAAGTGTACGCTGGCAGATTGTAAGGAAAAGATAAAAATACTTCCTTGCAAACCTTTTTCTGCCATTATGTTTCTCTATTTCCAAAAAAAAAATTATAAACATGCATTATAAAATCAAGATCAATTCATATGTAGCTGTATCAACACAGCTAAAATACTTTTAACTAGTAATGGATTATTAGGAAGAGGAAAAATATTCCATTTTCTCTTGGGTTTTTTAATACATGAATATGTATAATCTATAACACACATGCAAACCAAAGTTGGGAAATGTAATAAGAACATGAACTAAACACTCTTTACCGAATTCACTCTTTTAAACTACAAGAGGTGATGTGCATGTAGTTCAAGGTTTATGCAAAAAAAACTTAAATATACTTTCCATTGAAATAAGTAAGGAATGCTGTGCAGATGATACATGAACTGTTTCAGAGTAGATTGAGAAGTATCTGCAAACTTCCAAATCCCAACAATAGCAAACTCAGAAGCATATTTAAGAATCCCTGTCATGAACACCCAAATAGAAAAGTTTTCTAAAACACTGGCTTACATTTCTGGAGTCTTGGATTTGTTTTTTCCATTGAAAAATTCAGGAAGAGCACGCCGTTCAATCACATGAATACTGAAAGGGGGGGGGGAAGAGGATTGAAGAAGAATGAAATCTTGAAATTTGAGCTATGTTTAATTTTCAAAGTAAAACTAAGCCCTGGTTGGCAAAATTAATTACTCTGTACAAACATTTTTGTATTAACAGACTAAAACAAACAAAGAAAGCTTCCCCTTTGATTCTCAAAGAAAAGGTACATATGTATTTCATTACAGCTCCTAACTATCCAGAGCATTTGGAATAGCATTCACTTGGTTTTTAAGGCACGCAGCAAAGTCTAAATATTTGAGAACAACCATGATTTTGGACAAAACTAAAGCTCAAGTGAACCATGTACTGTATTTCTCCCCCCATGTTGGTACTGGTGATTGAGCCCAGTGCTTTGCACAAACTAAGCAAGCACACCAAGCATTTAGCTAAATCCCCTGTCCCTCCCTCCAACTTTTTTTTTGGAGATAGTTCACACTAAGTAAGTTCACACTAAGTAAGGCTGGCCTTGAACTCACAATATTGTGTTGCGACTTCAAGTAACTGGAACTAAAGGTGTATGAGACTGCCCCTGGCTCTCTATTCTTCAAATTATCTTTTAAGTCTATATAGAGGCTAGAAAGATGTATTAAAAATTGCATCTATCCTTAAGAATAAGACAATAATCATTAAGAACAGGATAAAAATGTCTAAACTAACACCCAAGATCTGAGTAACTGAGCATCACTGAAGTAACTGCATAACCTTCATATTAGAAACTACTTAAAAATGTTAACATCTATTTGGAGGAATAAATTCTCGTACTTAAATATTTATTAAAGGGGAAAGATTTATACGATCTGAAGAGAAACCAGAGTATTCGTATTTAAATATTTAAAAATAAAAATCTTTAAAAGGCAGCCCAATATGAAATAGAGATAACTCTTAAACAATCTTAAACAATATCTAGGGCTTTAGTTATTTCCAACCATGGTCCCAAAGAGGTCTGTTTTCTCAAGACTTTTTTTTTCATACCAGAGTTCATACTGAAAAAGACTTCTACATTTAAAATATTTCCTATTAAAACAAAGCTCTATATGGTAGTGAGAACAGTTTTTGGTTTATATAATTAACATTTTAAAATCACAAACATAATTAAATATTTTCCTGTGTATTATAGCTGAATCTAGATGACTTATGTTAAAGCTTACAACATTTTACAACCCTGTATTATAATTTTCACCTCTAAATTGTTTTAAAAAACACTTTTTAAAGATTAAAATCGGGGCTGGGGATGTGGCTCAAGCAGTGGCGCGCTCGCCTAGCATGCGTGCGGCCCAGGTTCAATCCTCAGCAGCACCACATACCAACAAAGATGTTGTGTCCGCCAAGAACTAAGAAAAAATAAATAAATGTTAAAATTCTCTCTCTCTGTCCCCCTCTCACTTTCTCTTAAAAAAAAAAAAAAAAGATTAAAATCACTTTCCATCTCCCTTCATCCAATGTGACAGCAATTCCTGATGTGGGACTGACTCTCCAACCTGATTTCAAGGAAAGTTTCCTCAGTACCATGGATGTGGCACACTTACCAGTTATAATCAAACCATGATGCATAGCTGGGAATAATAATGTGATTAGTCTGCTCTGTCACATTATCTTCACCAGGGTCAACTGACCGACTCTGATCACCTTTGCCAGGATCTTCATCTTCCTATAGAAAAGAAGCTAAAGTTCAAAAGACAGAACTAGACAGATTAACACATCATTCTTTTGATATTAGTTCAAAGATAATGAAGCTAGTTGATTTGATTTTTAAAAAAACAGGAAACAGGGGCTGGGGATGTGGCTCAAGTGGTAGCGCGCTCGCCTGGCAGGCGTGCGGCCCGGGTTCGATCCTCAGCACCACATACCAACAAAGATGTTGTGTCCGCCGAGAATTAAAAAATAAATATTAAAAAAATTCTCTCTCTCTCAAAAAAAACAGGAAACAAATTTCAAATATAAAAATTCAATTTTTAAGGTACAAAGTGGGTAGCTGAAAGAGCAGATTTCATCCCTCCTTTTTACAATTAGGGAATGGACTCATAAAATTAAGTACCTCATAACAAGATTAATTAGCAAGTTGAATGAAGAAAGGGTGTCTCTATAATGAAGAATTCACAAAGCTCAAATTAATTAAATCTCTTTTCACAACAGCTTCTTTTTTACTCTTCAGTTTTATTTAATCCCAGTTCACAAATATAAATTACTAGTTCTGACATTATTATGAGGAGAAGAATACTAACAAGTGACAATGGGACAGCCTGTTCTACAGACTCTGAGCAGTTAAGTATCTAAGAAGCCCTATGTGAACTATCTCACTTATTAGCAGATACTACTTTCTTGTCAACCAAGATACACAACACTATTAAGTCATATACAGAATATAAGTCAAGACAGTCCATAGAGGTTTATATCACTCTGTTTACTACTTACTACTTAACATTTTATCTGATTTTTTTTATCAGAGGTATTGCAAGTAAACCTCCCCCAAAACTGACTCCCAAATAATTTCAAAATCACTCCTTTAGGTCAAAATACAGGTGTGAAGATATCAGTCAACAATAATAGTAATTATTTTAAAATAACACTTGTAATATACTGTTTATATCTAAATGGATACACGTATCCCAGAAATTTTCTATACAGACTTCTCTTTCAAATCTAAACCTGATTAAATATTCCATATTATACATTATATCTTAGAAGTGTATTTTAATCCCTGCCTCCTTTTTTTTTGGTATTGCATAATATTAAAATGTCTAAAGAATCTAGACCAACATGTTATAAAACATTTTTAAAAGTCTCTGATTCTTCATAACTAATTTAAAACTAAAAATTTGGGCTGGAGATGTGGCTCAAGCGGTAGCGCACTCGCCTGGCATGCGTGCCCAGGTTCGATCCTCAGCACCACATACCAACAAAGATATCGTGTCCTCCGAGAACTAAAAAAAAATAAATATTAAAAATTCTCTCTCTCCTTCCTCTCACTCTCTCTTAGAAAAAATAAATAAATAAAACTAAAAATTTTTATCAAGAAAACTAAAGGACTACTAAAAGAAATAAGCTTTTTGACAGTCACAAAGTCATTCACTTTTATACGGTTCAATCTATCATATTTCATTTGGGTACTTTTATTATTTTTAACCTTATGAAGTCATTTTCTATTAAGAAACTACATAGCTGGGCATGGGGTCCACACCTATAATGCCACCAACTTGGGAGTCTGATGCAGGAAGGACTGCAAGATTGAGGTCAGACTGGGCAAAATTTTTAAATCCTATATCAAAATAAGAAATAAAAGGGGCTGCATATGTAGCTCAGTTTTAAGAGTGCCCTTGGGGATCAATCTCAAGTGCAGAATAAAAAAGAAAAAAAGAAAGAAAAGAAAGAAACTAGACTGATTTTGAATCTGTATTCTTTGACGATGGTTCCACTGTTAATACTTTTAAGTTAATTCAACTTAATTTCCTGTATAATAATATATGAGATGAAAATCTAGTATAACTTCCTATAAACTTAAGACAATTCCCTTAAGATCAATGAAAAAAGAAAGCAAAAAAACAACAAGAACTCTAAAATTGTTACTTAAATGATGCTGAAGAAAACAATCTGGTAATACTCATGACAAAGTTCCTTACCCCAAATCAGGGAAGCTACAAGCAAAAAAAACTGTGAGGGTTAATGTGTTTTTGTTTCAAGTTGGTTTTAATGTATTTTTGAGGTGTAGGTTTTATAAATCAACCAGGAAACAAAAAAATTTACTTTATTCAGAAAAACCAGGAAGGGGCTGGCAATGCAAGTAATAAAAGACAACAGTTTATGTTTCAAAGATCTCTCTCAATTGTGACACAAAAGGCAGAATGATACTGTGGGGCAGGGTATTAGAGAAATTCTTAAATTTACATTATGTAGCATTATGATTTGTACATGGATTCAAAACTCTTACCTTTGGCATAAAAGAAAATCTCACAAGTGCCTTTAACTTTCTATTTTCTTCCTTTTACTCTGTATACTAACATCTTTTCAAAATATAATATTCATTATTAAGGTAGCTTTGGAATAATGAAGTTTAATTTTAAAGGAAAAAATAACAATAATACAGGTAAAGAATTTGTTGAAATACTTTCATTAGAAGTCTCCATGACTCTGTTCATCCCTTGTATGTATATAAAACAATGTTAAACATCAGAATGGGGTTTCGATGGAAATTGGAAAAAAAGAAATATTTTCAGCAAATTAAGAAAGTTATTTCAAGAGCATTTGGGGTTAATTACACTTTTAACAAAGTTAAGCATGATAGCCTGACTGAAACAATGGGTCATTTACTGAAGAAAAAATTAAACCCTGCCTAAATCCAACACCTTCCAACGAGATGATTCATATGTCTTCACAGAACTGATGAAATAGGAAGTAGGTAACTGTGAGGCCAAGAGCATAATTCAAAGTCTTCATTAGCCACACCAAAAGAAAACAGAAAAATCAAGGCAAGGTCCCTACTCATCCTCATTGTTATATAACATCTGAAATAGTATGGTCTTTTCTGATTATCACTTGCAACCAAGGGAGCATGAAAATAGAACTAAACCAAGGGACATTACCTAGGAAGATATAAGATTCTTCTCAATAAAATTCTGGGACCAATGAAGACAACTATTCTGGAGGACTATTTAAAAGGGAATTCATCTTGGTGGTGTGGTGCCATGTGCCTGAAGTCCCGGTTACTTTGGGAGACAGAGGTAAGAGGATCACTTGAGCCCAGGAGTTTGAGACCAGCATGGGCACCACAGTGAGACTCCATCTCAAAAAAAAAAAAAAGAAAATTAAAAAAATATATATTAAGCCGGGTATACATGTGGTGCACGCTTGTAACCCTGGCAGCACAGGAGGATCAAGAGTTCAAAGCCAGCCTCTGCAACAGCAAGACGCTAAGCAATTCAGTGATGCCCTGTCTCTAAATTAAATACAAAATAGGGCTGGAGATGTGGCTCAGTAGTTGAGTGCCCCTAGTTAATCCCTGGTACCAAAAAACAAAATAAGAGTCTCAAAGTAAAAGATTTCTATGGACATTTCCAACTTCCAATCCAGTATTTCTACTCAGTACACAGAACAGTTAAAGAAAATCCTCTCAACAGGCCTAAATAATTTTTACCTTTCCTCCTGTTGTCATTGTTTCTTCATCTTGTTCATCTGCAAAATCAAAATATGTAAATTATTTTAAAAACAGATAAATGCTGTTTGGATTATCTGGAATCTTTACAGTCTAAAAACTTAATACAGGACAGACAAAAGCAAGCACAGTAAAATCACCCCCAAATAATTAGGTAAATTGTAATTTTACAAAGAAGCAGAGAGGTGTTAGAAATTCCAAAATATAGGAAATAAAAAAAAAACACAATGAAAAGTTTATAATTAATTACTAACTGAGCTAAAAATATCATAGTGGTGATCTTGTTAATAATATGGGCATGGGATTTGACTTGGACTCTCTCTCATAAGGACTGGTGAAAACAGTATATTATTTTGAATTCTAGAGGAAATGGGTAAATGATGTGTTAAAAAAAAAAAGAAGAAGAAGAGATAAGGAATCGCTTTCAAAGTACTGGTAGAAAGTTAATGCCTTTCGAGGATATAGGACCCAGGACCTAAATGCTGGTCTTACAAAAGAACAAGAGAAAGCTCATCTAAAATTTAAAATAGGCAGTTGATTCCTACAGTGAAAAGCAAAAGTGCCAATGTAGTGAGGTTTCTGCACAAATAATTATATTCAATGCTTTAGTTTTTTTAAAAAATATATATAAGTAATATGGTCCCCTGGTAGGACAAAAGCATTATGAAGTTCAAAAAGAATATGGAAAAGTAATTCTTTCACTCACATATTCTCTAAAAAAATATTCCCCATTATCTGTTATTTGAAAAGCAATTACCAAAAAACGAAACAAAAGAAACAAAATATTCAAAAGCACAGGGGCTGGGAAAACCAGAGTTCACTGGTGACATGCAGTCAAATGCCTGTTTTTATATGGAATCTGACTCTTTGAATAGTCCTAGTGAACGGGTTAACAGATGTGAAAAGTTAGCTTGCTATGCTTAAAATGTTTATGAAAATAATAATATGGTTAATTTTTGAATATTTGCTATTTTGGTTTGTAAATAAAGTGCTGCCCAAAGGCTCATGTATTAAAGGCTTGATTCCTAATGCATCAATGTTCAGAGATAGGGATTTGGGGGAAGTGATTTGATCATGAGGTATCTTATCTCATTAATATATTAATCCTCTCATAGATTCATAACTGATGGCATTATGGAAAGATGGAAGAAATGTAGGAGGGAGTGGCCTAGTTCAAGGGACTGGGTCCTTGAGTATGTGCCATTGGGAACTATACATTGTCCCCAATCTTCTCCCCATCCCCCTTCTGCCTGCTTCTCATCCATTATGAGATGTCCAGCTCTCCCCATCATCCCTCATCAATACGCTACTCTACCTCACCATAGGCCATGGTAATACGGACAGGTGACTTCAATCTCTGAAACCATGAGCTAAAATATATCTTTCCTCCTTTAAGTTGATTTCCCCATGTATTTTGTCATAGTGATGAAAAGCTATGCAATACATTGGCTGTCCTTTTAAAGTAAGGAATTTTGGTATCAACTAGGAGAGGGTACCTGTCACATCCACCTCCCCAATAAAACCTTGAGTGTGAATTGTCTAATAGACATCCTCAGGCTAAAACACTACATATATGTTGCTGCAAGTTCACTGCTGTGGGAGGAGTGCACTTCATGACTCTAGTGTGAGGAAGAACATGAAGAAACCTGCACCAAGACTCCACTTGTGTTTACCCATGCACCTATCATGAATGTTAGCTGTGAGTACAATCACATGCCAAATCCCAGGGGGTCATTTTGGAGACTCTCAACACATCTATGAGTAAAATACAGTTTGTATACTCTTAATTGGTAGAAAATAAAAAGAATAATACTTTGAGATACATAAAAAGTAAATGAAATTAAAATTTCAGTATTCAAAAATTTCATCATAATATGGCATGAAGATTTGTTTACATGACTCCATGGTTATTTTTGAGCTAAAATGGCAAAGTTGTTGTGATTGAGTCCAAATAGCACAGAGTGCCTAAAACATTTGTTTACTGGGGCTGGGGGTATAGCTCAGTTGGTAGAGTGCTGTCTCCCAAGCCCAAGGCCCTGAGTTCAATCCCCAGCACACCCCCCAAAAAGAAGAGAAAAAAAGAAAAAGAAAGGGGTTACCAATCCTTACCAAAAACATAAGTAGTATTTTAACATGCAGTAAGAGACGTACTCAAATATTTAATATCTAGGATGCCTGTTGTTTTGTTAGCTACTATCCAAATACTAAGAACACAGTCATAAATCAGAAAAGACACCAGCCTTTATGAACTTTACATCCCACTAATGGGATAGAATAAAAATCTTAGATGTTAAAAAATTCTACACAGATGATAAATATAAAGAAATATGCTTAAGAGGGTTTGGGTTGGTGTCCTCTTCAGAGCAAGTAAAAAAGGGAAACCTCGGGCTGGGGTTGAGTGGTAGAGCACTTGCCTCACACGGGTGAGGCACTGGGTTTGATTTTCAGCAGAACATAAAAATATATTGTGTCCATCTACAACTAAAAACATATAATGCATATATATATTTTTTTTCTTTTTTTTTAAAGGGAAGCCTCTCTGAAAAGGCAACACTGAAGCTGGCAAGTTAGCAGTGAGGTCAAAGGAGGGAACCAGTCAGGTCAAAGGGCTTTCAGTGGAGACTGCACAAAATTGAAAGAACATGAACATGAATAAAAAAATGAGAAAAGCACTTACACAATAGCAGAGTGTAAGGCTATAAAGCACTGGCAATAAACAGACCAGGACTCAAATATGGACTCTGCCACTTAATAGCAAAATAGTTGAAGATAATTTACTGAATCTCTGAAATCTCTACTTGATCAATAAAACAAGGTTAATGTCATTTAATACTCAAGTGCAAACATGTAGAATGATACCTGGCAAGTAATCAGGAATCACAAAAATGGATACTGTTGGGCTGGGATTGTGGCTCAGAGGTAAAGCGCTCGCCTAGCATGCGTGGGGCCCTGAGTTTGATCCTCAGCACCACATAAAAATAAATGAATGGAATAAAGGTACTGTGTCCAACTACAACTAAAAAAATAAATATTAAAAAAAAATGGACACTGTTGTTGGAGATATAAGTTATGAACAAATATCTGCTAACAGGTTGAGGGGATTCAGGATGTAAAACATGATGATACCAATTACCAAAAGGAGCCAAAGCTCTATGAAGAAACTATATTTTTCCTAGCAAGTGATTAACATAAAAATCTAGGTAACATTGCCAAAAACTAAAATTTTGTCTACTACATGTTTGTAAATCATAGGATAACCAACTTCTTAAGAAATAGTGGTAGTATGACTCAATGATCTCTCTCCAGTCAAAAAATATAATTTATTTTGACAAGTTTCTGTCACTTAGGTAGTCTTGGTACCCAATAGAAATATACTTGTGATAAAACAAAAGTAGGAGGGCTGGGGTAGTGGCTCAGAGGTAGAGTGCTCGCCTAATAAGCGTGAGGCACTCACTGGGTTGAATCCTCAGCACCACATAACACCTACAACTAAAAAATAAACATAAAAAAAAAAAAAGAAGAGGGAAACCCTTTTCAACTGCTTCTAAATGATAATACTAAATAAAATGTTCTCTCCCTTGTCTTCTTTATATGGACAAATACACTTCCAACCCATCCCAAGGATTTTTTAGAGACCTCAAGAGAGAAAGACATTTAGCTAGGTGGCACATCAGAAAGAAATGGATTAGCTAAAACAACAAACATCTCTAAGAACAGTAATTTATAGGTGATGGACCAGGTGTCCTTGGCATGGTTCATGTAACAACTAATGAAAAAATGAAAAGCCAGAAAAATAACTTCAAATTTAAAAAACGTAACTCTCCAGCTGCGATCAACAGCATCTTCATTCACAATATTCCTAAACTGTGTGTACCTCACATACTTCACAAGAGGGAAAGGATTTTACACCTGGCCTTAAATTTTCCTTCCAAGTGGAACCTCTAGCTTTTCTCCCAAATTGGGTTCTATTTCATTCCATTAAAAGTCTGTTATGGGGCTGGGGTTGTGGCTCGGAGGCAGAGCGCTTGCCTAGCATGCATGAGGCACTGGGTTCGATCCTCAGCACCACATAAAATAAAAAATAAAGGTATTGTGTCCAGCTGTAACTAAAAAAATAATTTTTTTTAAAAAAAAAGCCTATTATGAACATGTTCTAAATGACTACCTCATTAAAGGAACAATTTTCTACTCTTTTGTGAATTATAGGCTGCTTCCTTTTTAAGATATATATTTAGGGCTGGGGATGTAGCTCAGTGATAGAACACTGCTTAGCATGTGTGAGGCACTGGGTTTGATTCTTAGCATCATATGTAAATAAGTAAATAAACAAAATAAAGGTTCATCAATAACTAAAAGAATATTTTAAAAAGAAAGTTTTTTAAAAACAGATATATACTTAAAATATATTAATTAACACTCTATATAGCAAATTGTCCCGCTGAAGAATATCAAGTGTAAATCTTTTACCCTTGTCAATGTACTGAGATATAAAATAAAAGACTGCTTATAATTAGTTTCTGTTTTCTTGGCTATTAATTACGTAGTAAGTATCAATTACAGGATAGACAACAAAAACTTATGGAGAATGTAACATTATTTAAATTACAAGTAATATTATTCAAGATCCATGTTCTATTAATAATGCTAAAACAAGACAGAAATTTGGGGTTGGGGGGGTGATGCTGGGGATTAAACTCAGTGGCACTCAACCACTGAGCCACATTCCTAGCCATATTTTATTTAGAGATAGGGTCTCACTAAGTTCCTTAGTGCCCATGCTTTTGCTGAAGCTGACTCTGAACTCTCAATCCTCCTATCTCAGCCTCCTGAGCTGCTGGGATTACAGACATGTACCACGATGCCCAACAAGATAGAAATGTTTTGACAGCATCTCCTTTTTCACTTTGTTTATGTAACACCTCCCATTACATTGTCATCAGATAATCTTTTGTTTCTGCTTCTGAAATAAAAAGAGAATCATCTTCCAGTATGTATTGATGGACTGTAAATCAGGAAACGTAGAGATGCATTCAATAAAATGAAGCTAAAGAATTCGAAGAAATACCCACTTGTATTTGCCATCAAGAATCACTGCAATTTGTGCACATTTCATTTTTTTTTATTAAAAGAAAAAATATTTCTCATATGCTAAACAAACTTGAAGGTAAATTAATAGCATGCTTATCTTACCCACTGCTTTCAGTCGCCACCCTTCAGACAAGTATCAAAAGCTTGCTGATAAATTTTGTACTTTTTGCATTGTATGACATTTATGAATTAAAAAATGGAAAATATTTCAGATACTTTCTTATTTGTTTAATAGAAAGCATAATTCTTTTTTAATTTAATGGATTTTGTAGGAAAAAAGAAATTACTACAATTTATTAAAAAGCAGATTACTCTCAATTCAGAGTAATACTGAAATGAAGGTATCATTTTCATTCCAAAGAAATCTTGCAAAATGTTTTCTCTTCTAAAATACTACAAGTTCAAAAATTTACTGAGGACTGAAAATAGCAGCTTCTCCTTTGAGTTTTACAACTATAGAAAAACAATCAAGAGGGGCTGGGATTTGGCTCAGTGGTAGAGCCCTCGCCTAGCACGTTCCAGGACCTGGGTTTGATCCTCAGCCCCACATAAAAATTAACAAAATAAAACTGAAAAAAAAAAGAAAGAAAAGAAAAAGAGAAAGAATCAAGACTACTATATTGCCTATAACTTTCAGGAACACGAGGTGCTTCTATTTTTAATATTTATTTATTTACTTACTTACTTAATCACTCAATAATTACACCTTACTTGTGAAAATGTACTCTACATCCTGAACACATAGTTGGCCTTCTGTACATTGGAGTTCCACATATATGGACTCAACCCACCAGAGATGGAATAGTCAGGAAAAAAATGTCTACAGTAAACACATACATCTTTTTGTCATTAATCACTAAGCATATAACAACTACTATATAACATTTACAGTATATTAAGTATTTAAGTATGATTTAAAGTACATGGCAAGATAAGCAGAGGTTAGATGAAAATACTATGTGTCATTTTATGAGAGGAAGTTGGACATAAATGAATTTTGATATCCATGGGGCATGGGGATCATGGAACAATCCTACATGGATACCTATACTATAAAAAAAACGCTGTTTCTCAATTCATACTGCTTAAGAACTTTAATTTAGCTTATAAAATATAAACATGTAGAAGATGTTTACTGTGAAGATACAAAATCAATTTGCATTATGATATAAGACAAGTAGTTCAGGGAGACTGGGGAAAGTACTTTAATTAGAATTATTTCTTTAAAACTCAAATATTCAGATTCGAGTAAAACATTAGTTTGTGGGAAAATACTATGAGAGGGCATCATTAAGAAACAATGGGTCAGGGGCTGGGGTCCAATGGTAGTGCACTTGCCTGGCATGTTTGAGGCACTGGGTTCAATTCTCAGCATCACATATAAATACATAAATAAAATAAAGGTCTATCAACAACTAAAAAAAAATGTTAAAAAAAAGCAACAATGGATCATAAGAAATTAACACTGATAAAATGGTGGCAAACCAAATCACGACAGTACTAAGGAAATATATAGTTTATATCTGGTGGTGGGAAACAGTAAGTGAAAACAATACTTTTAAGTAAATAAAGGAGTATTTGAACAGCTGATAGGTAAAATAAAGGAAACAAGACTATATAAGGTATGTTTTACCTAGATCTGCTACAGTTCCTCCTTTAACAGGTGTATTTTCACTATCTTTCTTTGGGTTTACTAGAAGGAGGAAAAAAACAAAACAAAACAAAACCACATCAGAATCACGTATTAGAGGAAAACTTCTGCTTGCTTTTAAGAATAAAAGAGAAAAGAACATGATTCAAAAATACATGCATCTCATTAGAACTCAAATGTAAATCATGACTCACACCTCACGAAAAAACCATAAACCCAGCTACAAAAAGACTTAATAACAGATTGTACTCTGTAATTATCTAAGTATCAATATTTTTTATTATAGAAATAAAAAATGTTTACGTGCAAAACATAAAAAGAATTTTTCAGTCTCGTCCACAATTTTTTTTTGACCATTTTTAGGCTTTTATCTGAATTCCCATTTCTGTGCCACTCATTCATTCAGACAGATAAAAATGATAGGAAAAATGATACCTTTTTACCCCAATACTAGAAATGAAGCCAAAAGTGCTCTACTACTCAGTCAAACCCTCAACACCACAACTTTTTAATATGTTTTTAAATTTGTTCTAATTAATTATACATGACAGTAAAATGCTTTTTGACACATCATACATGAATGGGAGTATAATTTCTCATTCATCTGGTTGTACATGATGTAGAGTTACACAGGTCATATAATCTTATGCACATAGGGTAATAATTTATGATTCATTCTACTATCATTCCTACTCACCTATCTCCTCCCCTACATTCACTCCCCTGTGTCTAGTCCAAAATAACTCTATTCTCCCCACAAACTCATTGTGATTTAGCATCTATACGTCAGAGAAAACATTTGGCCTTTGACTCTTTGGGAAATGGCTTATTTTGCTTAGCAGAATATTCTCCAGTTCCATCCAATTACTGGCAAATGCCATAATTTCATTCTTAAGGCTGAGTACTATTCCATTGTGTATATATACCTCAATTTCCTTATCTATTCATCTCTTGAAGGGCACCTAGGTTGGTTTCCTAGTTTAGCTTTTGTGATCTGAGCTGCTATAAACACTGATTTGACTAGCCCTTTTTTATATTTTGAGACAGGTTCTTGCTAAGTTACCAAGGGTAGCCTCAAACTTTCAATTCTCCTGCCTCAGTCTCCTAAGTCACTGGAATTACAGGTGTGTGCCACCATGCTCAGTGAGAACTGACACCTTTCATGTATACAAACACACACAAATATTGAAATTTATGCTCAGGGTTTTAAAGCCATGTGCAGATGTTACCCATTCTGTACTTATTCCTTAGCACTTACCTTTTCTCATGTAACAGTGTGCCTTTGTTTTAACTATTCTACATGGCTTTCATTTTAACAGGTCCATAAGTGGACCATAAACTATCCCTGCTTTGAGGGAAACTAAGTTTCTTTTCAAGAATTCACTGTCTGTAAGCAGCATTCTTTAACCATTATCTCTCTGCATGCATGTAATTACTTAAGATGTGCTCTGAAGACAAAAACTGTTATTATTAAGTATATACATTTAAAATTTAAAAGAGAGCCAAAATGTGTTCAGTGGCTTCTTCAATTTATACTTCTATCAAGAGCATAAGTTCATAAGTCTTCAAAACGTTTTTACTTTCCCATCTACTTGAAACTGTGACAGAGGAAAAGTTATTTGAGCCTGGCATGGTGGCGCATACCTATAATCCTAATGGCTCAGGAGGCTAAGGCAGACGGATCATGTGTTTAAAGCCAGCCTCAGCAACTTAATGAGGCACCTAAGCAACTCAGTGATACCCTGTCTCTAAATAAAATGCAAAATATGGCTGGGAATGTAGCTCAGTGGTTCAATGCACCTGGGTTCAATCCCTGGTAGGAAAAAAGAAGAAGAAGAAGAAGAAAAAAAAAAAAGCTTTAATAGTTTATATATTCTTGGTTAAGTAAGGCTGTTAGTCCATTCACACATTTACTGGCTCTGCATTTATGAGAAGTTTATTATGATATAATACATTGCCATTTTGCTCTATGGGATTAGAATTTTTACACTATTTGGGATTGTATTCATTTATTTGTTAAATGGGTAAACAAATATCTTTTTCTCAGGCTAAGACCTGATTACACTGTATCCCTATCAGGGCTAGGGTTGTGGTTCAGCGGTAGAGCGCTTGCCTAGCTTGTGCAAGGCCCTGGGTTCGATTCTCAGTACCAAATAAATAAGTAAAATAAAGGTAAAAAATATTAAAAAATTAAAAAATAAAGGTATTGTGTCCATCTACAACTAAAAAATAAATATTTTTTTAAAAAGCGTATCAGTATTAAGGGTGCTGGGATTGTGGCTCAGTGGTAGAGCGCTCACCTAGCATAGGCGGGACCCAGGTTCGATCCTCAGCACCACATATAAAAATAAAGGCATTGAGTTGTGTCCATCGACATCTAAAAAATATATATATTTAAAAAAAAACTACTATAGGGCTGGGGATGTGGCTCAAGCAGTAGCGCGCTCGCCTGGCATGAGTGCGGCCCGGGTTCGATCCTCAGCACCACATACCAACAAAGATGTTGTGTCCGCCGAGAACTAAAAAATAAATATTAAAAAAAAAATTATCTCTCTCTCTCTTTAAAAAAAAATAATAAAAATAAAAAAATAATAAAAAATAAAAAACTACTATAAACAAATACGAGTCATTTGTCTACTAGCCATTCTACTCTACTAATTGATTCAGTCATTCCTGAACCAAAACAAAATTATATTAATTATTATAGATTTAAAGTTTAGGTAGTTATTGGTTAAGGGTTGTCACCACTCTCCTGAGTCCTTGATTTAAAAATATTTTTGGGGTTATATTTATGATTTTCTCCTTCCATATGAACTTAAAAATATATCACAGTTAGAGTTTCTTTTCTTTTTTTCCTTTTTATGGTGCCAGGGACTGAATCTAGGGGTGCTTAATCAATGAGCTACATCTTGAGCCCTTTATATTTTTATTTTGAGATAGGGTTTCGATAAATTCCAAAGCTGGCTTTACAATCCTTCTTTCTCAGGCTCCTACACCACTGGATTAAAGGTGTGCACCACTGTGCCTTGCTTGGGTTGTTCTTAATGCCCAATTAGCTCAGTGGTACAGTGCTTGCCTCACATGTGTGAGGCACTGAGTTCAATCCTCAGCACCACATAAAAACAAATATATTGTGTATATATCTACAACTAAAAAATATACATTAAAGAAAAAAAAAACATTCAAAGCCCAGTTTACAAAGGGGAAGAGATGTTCAACAGATACTATATAACAAAACAAGGAATATAAAATGGGAAGATTCCTGTATCTGTTTTAAAAATTGAATCTTGAAGATTTTTAACAGTGGATAAGAGGAAGGCTGCATTTCCAACTGCTCCATGGCTCACGATTAAAGCAGTACAAGAATACTGGTTCTCGGGCTGGGGATGTGGCTCAAGCGGTAGTGCGCTCGCCTGGCATGCATGCGGCCCGGGTTTGATCCTCAGCACCACATACCAACAAGGATGTTGTGTCCGCCGAAAACTAAAAAATAAATATTAAAAAAAATCTCTCTCTTTAAAAAAAAAAAGAATTACTGGTTCTCAGTGAGGGTAATGTGTTGGCATGAAGGTGACTAGGACTATAATAAAAAAACAAGATCACAGAACTACAAGAGGTCATGGTCAAAGGAGATTCCCATTCTATGTGTGCTTTCTGCAACCAGCAGCCTGGGAGTTGCTCTCTAGGTGCACACCCCTGGCTTTGGAAGAGAGTTACACTTCAGCTCCCAAGTAAAAATATTCTCTGTAGCTTTACTGCAGCACTCTCCAGACCAATACCACTCAAAGTTTCTCAAATATAGGATGAGCCTTTTGATCTTTAAATGTTATTTTTTAATCAAAATAATAAATTAATTAGTTAAATAAATAAATATTGAATCTGTGACTAAAACCAAAGAAATCTTAAGGCTGAAGGAGCTACACAAATACATTATTTAAGGAAGAAATGTTCCCAATCTTGTCTTTCAGAAAATAAAACAAAGAAACTAATTCCAAACTCATTTTATGAGTTCAGCACAACCTGGATGGCAAAACTTGATGAAGATTTTACAATAAAAGAAAGGTAAAGGCCAAAACACTCCATAAACAGAAACTAATAAAATCCTTGAAAAAAATATATTAGAAAATCAAATGCAGTAATACATTTAAAGACAATGAAATTAAATGAGATTATTTCAGGAATGCAAAGTTGGTTTAAAATCATTTCAGCATAATTACATTAATTGATTAAAGGAGAAAAATCATATCATTATATCAATGAATGCAGAAAAAAATTGTAAAAATCCAGCAACCATTCATAATAAAAATCTCAAAAGTAATATAGGAATAAAATAAACTTCCTTGATTTGACAGAGCATTTTCTATCAACTGGTAACATCATTCTTCATGGTAAAATATTAAAGGTATACTCCCCAAAACAGGTTTAAAAAAAGCAAAAATGTTGGTGCTGGGGATGTGGCTCAAGCGGTAGCGTGCTTGCCTGGCATGCATGTGGTCCGGGTTCGATCCTCAGCACCACATACAAACAAAGATGTTGTGTCCACCGAAAACTAAAAAAGCAAAAATGTTTTTATCATTGTTACTTAAAAGTACAGAAGTGTTAAAGTATAACTAAAAGTTGGTGTAATAGGGTAAAAACCAAAACAAAAGATGGGGCTGGGGATTATACCTCAGCAGTAGAGCACTTGCCTCGAACATGTGAAGCACTGGGTTTGATCCTGAGCACAACATATAAATAAATAAAATAAAGGTACTGTATCCAACTACAACTAACAGAAATATTTAAAAAAAACCACTCCCATAAACAATTGCATTAAATAATATATTGATGATCAGGCTGAGGTTGTAGCTCAGTGGTAGAGCACTTGCCTCATGTGTGTGAGGCACTGGGTTCAATCCTTAGTACCACATAAAAATAAATATATTGTGTCCATCTACAACTAAAAAAAATACAAACACACACACACACATATATACATACACACTGATGGACTGGGGATGGAATTCAGTGGTAGAGTCCTCTAGGTTCAATTCTCAGTAATACACACATATACACATACAAATATGTTATATATAAACATTTAAGCACATATAGTGAATTATAAGTTTTACAAATGGCTGGGGTTGTGGCTCAGTGGTAGAGCACTTGCCTAGCATGTGTGAGGCATTGGGTTCCATTCTAAGCATCACATAGAAATAAAATAAAGGTCTACTAACAACTAAAAAATTTTTTTAAAAAAAGTTTTATAAATATATCAAAGACGTCTACTCTGAAACACATAAAATACTGAAGAGAAACATAATTATGTAAAGGTAAACATGTGACATACTCATATAGTATCATATTCAATGTTAAATCAATTCTCCCTCAAATGCCCATTTAAAATGGCTTTAATTTCAATCAGAACCTCGGTCTGAGAAACTAAAAGGCTGGTTCTAAAATTTATGTGACTCAGCCAAGAATTAAAAATAGCAAAAACAATCCTGAAGAATAGGATTTACAAAGATGGAGAATTGCCTAATTTTAAAACCTGAGTAAAAGTTATATCAATAAAGCACTGTGGTACTGGATCCAGTAAAAATACACTTGTGGAAAAAACAGTGTCATAGTTTAGATCTGGAATATTCCCCAAAGGTTGAAGGCTTGGTCCCTAACTATTGGCTTCATTAGGAAATAGACGAAAGCTACTTAGACAGGAAGTCACAGAAAAGTCACTTAAAAAGTGTATCTTAACACCTTACCCACCTCTGGATCCTTTCTCTTTCTCCCTCTCTTCTTGTTACTTAGCACCAAGAGGTGAACATCTCTGTTACAACACGAATTTCTTACTATAATGCTCTTCCTCAATAAAAGCCTAAAGCAATAGGGTGAAACAACTGTGGACTGAAACCATAAGCCAAAAATCTTTCTTGGATATTTTGACACAGCCACAGAAATCTTATTAACACAGAATCTAAAAGTAGATCCACTCAAAAGATTTTTAAAAAAGCATAAAGATCATTCAATCAATAAAGTAGGATCTTTACAGCAAATGGACCAGATAGGAAAACAATAAACTTTGACCTCTATCTCAAAAAATACTGAAAGTTTGATCACAGATCTAATTTAAAGAAGTAAGTATAAACCTTCTACAAGAAAACATAGGAAAATAGGGCTGGGCCTGTAGCTTAGTGGCAGAGTACTTGCCAAGCACTGGGTTCGATCTTCAGCACCACATAAAAAAATTAAATAGAGACATGATGTCCATCTACAATTATTAAAAAAAAAAAAAAAGAAAAGAAAACATAGGAAAAACTATCTTAAATATTTAAGGTAAAAATATCTTAGAACACAAGAAATGTTAATGATTCAATTTCATCAAAATTAAGAATACATGCCCTATAAAGTATTAGGAAAATGAAAAAGCAAGCCACTATGAGTGGGGGCTTAAATTGTTTATAAATCGACTTAGAAAAACCAAATACCTGAATGTCGAGAAGTAGATTTTAAAACACACTACAAATACAGAAAAAACAAGGATAAGACATAAACTGCAAGAAAATACACTAAATGCATCTGACAAAGAGCTCAAACATGATAAATTATTCAAACAAAAACATAAAAAGCCAGGTGCAGTGGCACACACCTGTAATCCCAGTGGCACAGGAGATCAAGGCAGGAGGATTCCAAGTTTAGCAAGGTCCTAAGCAACTTAGCAAGACCCTGTCTCAAAAAATGGCCAGGGATGAGTCCTCAATGATAAACTAGGTTCAATTCCCAGTGCCAAACAAAACAACAACAACAAAAACAGCCATCTACATAAATAAAAGCCAAAGAGACTCAGATCCAAATCTGAAAGGATAAATGAAGTCACTAGGAAAAAGTTGAAAATATCTTTTGGATATTTTAAGAGATGCAAATAGCACAAATTATGGAGGAAAACTAATCCATTATATTGTATCAAAGTTGAAGACTTCTTTCCAAAAGACAGAAGATGGATAGCAAAAATAGAGCTAGCTATAAATTCTTTTTTTTTCTTCTTTTTTTTTGGTCGCAGGGGCACTTGACACATCCCTAGCCTATTTTTATTTTATTTAGAGACAGGGTCTCACTGAGTTGCCTAGCACCTTGCCATTGCTAAGGATGGCTTTGAACTTGCAGTTCTCCTGCTTCAACCACCCAAGCTGCTAGGATTACAGGCATGATGCATCACTGCACCTACCTTAAATTAAATTTAATATCAAGGTAGTTTTAAAAAGTAGGAAAAAAGAAAAAACTATTGACGGTGTCCTGTGTGAGCCCCGTAGGGCTGGGGAGGTACCAGCTGCCGCGAGGGGAGGGGGCCAAGGCCGCCCATAGCTGGAGTGAGGCCCTGGCCCCTCTTCGTCTATGTCTGGCACAGCTGGTGTGAGACAATCCTTCCCTGCCGCCCAGATAATCAAGAGTTTTGGCCGGACCTTTGAGCACACACGGAGATAGTTAGGAGCCAGACAAAAAGCACAGACTATGGCGCTGAAACGGATTAATAAGGAACTTAGTGATTTGGCCCGTGACCCTCCAGCACAATGTTCTGCAGGTCCAGTTGGGGATGATATGTTTCATTGGCAAGCCACAATTATGGGACCTAATGATAGCCCATATCATGGTGATGTATTCTTTTTGACAATTCATTTTCCTACAGACTTCAAACCACCTAAGGTTGCATTTACAACAAGAATTTATCATCCAAATATTAACACTAATGGCAGCATTTGTCTTGATATTCTAAGATCACAATAGTCTCCTGCTTTAACTTTTCCTAAAGTTCTTTTATCCATTTTTCCACTGCTATGTGATCCAAACCCAGATGACCCTTTAGTGCCAGAGATTGCACGGATCTATAAAACAGAGATAAGTACGACAGAATATCTCGGGAATGGACTCAGAAGTATACCATGTGATGCTACCTTAAAGTCAGAATAACCTCATTATAGCTGGAATAAACTTTAAATTACTGTTCCTTTTTTGATTTTTCTTATCCAGCTGCTCCCCTATCAGACCTCATCTTTTTTAATTTTATTTTTTGTTTACTTCCCTCCATTCATTCACATGCTCATCTGAGAAGACTTAAGTTCTTCCAGCTTTGGACAATAACTGCTTTTAGAAACTATAAAGTAGTTACAAAAGAACAGTTTTCCAAGATTCAGAATTTTTTTTAAAAAATGGAGCATGTGTATTATGTGGCCAATGTCTTCACTCTAACTTGGTTATGAGACTAAACCATTATTCCTCACTGCTCTAACATGCTGAAGAAATCATCTGAGGGAGAGAGAGATAGATGCTCAGTTGTCACATCAAAGGAAGCAGCATTATTCTAGCAGCATCTATTTTATTTAAACCTTCCACTGTTAGAGATTTGAGGTTACATGTTATACTTTATGCTCATAACTGATGTGGCTGGAGAATTGGTATTGAATTTATAGCATCAACAGAACAGAAAAAGTAATGTATTTTATGCATGTCAATAAAGGAATGACATGTTCTTGTTCTACAGAGAATGGAAATTGGAAGTCAAACACCCTTTGTATTCCAAAACAGGGTCTCAAAACATTTTGTAATTTTCATTTAAATTGTTAGGAGGCATGGAGCTATTAGTTAATCTATCTTCCAATACACTGTTTAATATAGCACTGAATAAATGATGCAAGTTGTCAATGGATAAGTGATCAACTAATAGCTCTGCTAGTAATTGATTTATTTTTCTTCATAAACTTGCATAAACCAAAAAAAAAAAAAACAACCCCAAACTATTGGCAATTTTAATAATCTAATTTCATGTGTAGATTTCAAACCTCTAGTTTGTAGCCCCCTAATGAAATTTTGCATTGGAAAACTGAATGGGTAATATGAGAACTATAAAATTCACCATTTCACATATGTGGTTTCCAATTTATGGGCCTCCTCCTCGATACAGGTAAATAGTGATGATGTATAAATAAGTAAACTAAATGTCATTTATATCTTTTCCCCTTAAAATGTGCTGATCCTTATTTTTAAAAATTTAATTACAGGCTCACTGAGATCACAAACATGTGATGGTCAATTTTAAAAATTATAAATATTTAAACCATACTTTGAGCTTCATTACATTGAAGTCTGAAACTTACATCACCAATAACTCAAGTTCACAACACTAAACTTACAAAATTCAATACAGAAAGTTTTCAATTTCATATGCACATAAAGAATGCCTAGAGATTAAATAGGTTTAAACTATACATAAATGTTTTCCAGCATTTAATGTGAATAGTAATTCTGTTTTGATTTTTTAAAAATATTAACTTTAAATATTTCTAAAGTTAGGTAAATCGTGGATCATGGTGTATTTTCTCCATAAACAAATAGGAAAAAGTATCATAGATGACTGGGAAACTCCTGTAAAATAAATAAATTAATTAATTGAAAAGAAAATAAATGACTGGGAAAGAGGGAATTTGAAAAAAGTTAATACCAAAAGTAGAAATTTATTCATATTTGAAAGTTGAGAATTATGGACTCAAAGCAAAAAATGAATTACTTCATGATGAAATTAGGTCTATCAGAATACAAACCATTTTTGGGGAGTACCACCTCCTCTATATTGGGTACAGGTGTTGGGTCTTCCATGTCCTTGGTAAGGTCTTCTTGCTCATCTTCCTCTTTCTGACTTCTGCGCTTCCCATAAAGATTAGCTTGGCTGAAACACATAGGTATATAAAATATAAACAAGACCAATTATGGCTAATTATACCAAACTATTCCTGAGGTTCTACATTATTGTTAAAATCTATACTTACAAATCACTTTTAAAAAGGTGATAATCAAACAAATTATAGACATCTTACTGAAGATACATTTATTCAGCCAAAAAAAAAAAAATAAAATTAAAAGGTACTGGATATAAAAAATGGGCACAGAAATCTTACTATTCAAATTGCAGGCATTATCTTAAAGGAAGCTTCAGTTAGTACAACAAAAGAATACCTGCTAAGGAATATAGCATAGTTTCTCACAGACTATAAACAAATCACATAAGAAATTTTCTCAAAGATATGAAGAGCTATATTTTCCTGGCTTTTTATGTCATCCAAATACCAGAAACTACCATACCACTGAGTATGGTACTCATTCTTTTTTGTAAAAATTGCCTTTGTTCTTTCTCTGACAATTCAAATCATTTTTAAAACATACGAATAAAGGGCTGGGGATGTGGCTCAAGTGGTAGCGCAATCGCCTACCATGCGTGAGGCGCTGGGTTTGATTCTGATCACCATATAAATATAAAATGAAGATACTGTGTCCACCTAAAACTAAAAAATAAATATTAAAAAAAATGAATAAAATAATCACAATGAATATAGGACAGAAGTAATTAGAAATACATTAACAGTATTGTACTTCTGAACATGGAAATATAGAGAAATTAATAAAAGTATGAAGAAAATATATCACAGAGAAAAAAGTGGTAAGTAAGCTGAAATTTTGAAAATGCGCAATAATTAAAGATAAGGCAATGTTTTAGAGTAAAGAGTAAAAGCTAAAGGCATAAGCAAAAACATAAAAATAAAATAATTTGTTTGGAGATGCAATTGAGAGTAATCTACAGTGTACTGCCAGTGAAAGTAAATGAAGTAAGATCTAGGAAAGACAGAATGATGGACCAGCCCGAGTCCCTCATTGAAGAGAGAATGCTCAAAGTTCTCTTTGAGAGATAACATATTGGTATGGGTCAGAATAAAGCATATCAGGTAAAAAAAACTTTTTTCAAATTAAAAATTGTATGATGAGGGGCTGGGGAGATAACTCAGTGGTAAAGCACCTGCCTAGCATGCATGAGGCCCTGAGTACAATCCCCATCACCACATAAAAAATGAACAATAACAATAAAAAATGAAGTCTACAAATCTAAACGGTGTCCAAGAGATAAAATATTTTTAAAAGGAAGAAAAGACGCAGGGAAGATCAATAAAACAAAGGTTATGAAAACAGATTTCAAAATGCTCTGATTAAATACAGGATTCAAAGAAAAAATTTTAGGGATTGAACCCAGGACCCATGCATGCTAAGTACATGTTCCACCACTGAGTTACAACCTTAGTCTTCATGGAAAAACTTAAAATATAAAAAGTGTGCCATTAGAAGGCAAATGTATGTAATCAATATACATACATACATACATACACAGGAATCAATCTGGTATGGCTGTATAAACAGGGTGGAGAGTAAATGCCACCACTGTGAGTCTTCTTTTTTTTTTTTTTAAGAGAGAGGGGGGGAGGGAGGGGGGGAGGGAGAGAAAGAGAGAGAGAGAGAGAGAGAGAGAGAATTTTTAAATATTTATTTATTTTTTAGTTCTCGGCGGACACAACATCTTTGTTTGTATGTGGTGCTGAGGATCGAACCCGGGCCGCACGCATGGCAGGCAAGTGCGATACCGCTTGAGCCACATCCCCAGCCCCACTGTGAGTCTTCTTGATATCATATTTTGTTTCAACAACTACTGGTGTGCTGGCACCCCATTTTAGCTCATAAGCAGGAATAGTTGAATATCTGACTTTAGGCCTGGATCACCGGGAAAAGTTGATAAAGGCTTTCTTACAAAGCTGTCACACAAAATGGGCACAGTGGCGCACATTTGTAATCCCAAAACACAGAAGCATGAGGAAGGATGAATATAAGTTCAAGTCAGTCTCTGCAACTTAATAAGACCCTATCTCCCTATCTCAAGAAAATAAATAAATAAAAATAAGGAATTTAGCTCAGTGGTAAGGCATTCCTCAGTTCAATCCCTAGGACTTCTTCTAAAAAAATTTCAGGTACCTCGGATATCTCTGAACATCCACAGCAAGAGTCAGAAATCTAAAGTGTTTATCCCAAAAACATCATTAAGAAAACATATTTTTGGGGCTGGAGATGTGGCTCAAGCGGTAGCGCGCTCGCCTGGCATGTGTGCGGCCCAGGTTCGATCCTCAGCACCACATACAAAGATGTTGTGTCCGCCGAAAACTAAAAAATAAATATTAAAATTCTCTCTCTCTCTCTCTTCCCCCCTCTCTCTCATTTCCCTAAGCAATTTAGTAGACCCTGTCTCAAAAAAATAAAAAATAAAAATAAAAATAAAGGCATTGTGTTGTGTCCATCTACACCAAAAAAAAAAATATTAAAAAAAAAGAAAACATATTTGTATGATTTTAATTTCTGTGCCTCAATATATGTGGTCTTAACAAAATCACAAATTTTAAGACCATGACTGGCTCATTAATATATGAAATAAGAGAGTTTTAAACTTCCCTAAACAGCCACATACTCGTCTTTCTGAGTTAATGTAATCACTAAAGGGACAGGTGATAAAATCAGAGAAAAATATAGACTATGGTAAATGCGATTTCTTAAACACTTTGCCAACCACATTCTCAATACATACATACAAAAAAACACTCTATTCAGATACATTTAATCTTTGTATAAACTAAACATAAAATGTCTATAAGATAACATCTCATAATAAGACAAGCTATTTAAAAAAAGGTTTCCAAAGAAGTCAAAGTACAGCTTACTTTTAGTAAATCTTCCAATGTAAATGTAAAAATCTGAAAAGTCCTTCAGAATATGTTTTAATGCCTTCTGAATCACGTTGGAGTTCTTACCCTTTCTTCCCACTTTTCTTCCGAGATTCTGTAGGTGTGGGAGGGGGAGGTGAAGGTGAATGTTTCCTCTTCCGAGCATTAGCTGATGCTTTTCTATCTCTTCTCTCTGGACTTCTGACTGGCTAGGAAGAAATAAATGAAAATAAATACCAGCGAACTTTGCTGAGTCCTCGGTTTCAGTAAACCTTTGTGCAAAGGTGAGTTTCCATAAACAAAGATAGCAACAAACCCACTAGTTCAGAAAAAAGAAAAAGTATGACATTAAGCATCTAAGACCACTAGCCATGAAGAGACTTTTCTGACCTTTCATCATCAATGGAACTCTCAGTACAATCCCACAGACACTCAAATTTTGCTATAACAAGGAGAGGCCTGAACCTTGCACAACTAAATACTGTTACTGTTCACATTCTGCACCTCCAGATGGAAAAAGCATTTTCAATAACTGCTAGAAAAATATGAAACAAACAAACTATTAAAACAATGAAATAAAAATACAGGCCAAATGATCCTATGAAAATGTACTATTATACATTAGAACTAGGACTGTAGCTCAGTGGTGGAATGCTTGTCTAGCATATGTGAGGCATTGGGTTCAATCCTTAGCACTCTATAAAAATAAATAAAGGTCCATCAACTACAAAATATTTAAAAAAAGAAAAGAAAATGTACTATTATAGATACTACAGCTCAGTGGTAGGATACTTGCCTAGCACATAGGAGGCCCTAGGTTTGATCCCCAGAACCACACAACCACAAAGTACTAAGGGTTAATAAACATATAAAGAGATCTGCCAACGAAGAGTAAAAAATTTTTAAAAATTTATTGAGTTAAATTCTAAAACAAATAGGAATAAACTAAGATTACAAAAATTATGAGACCCCATTTTAAAGTATTTTTCTTAAAAGGATATACATAGTGTGATAAAAAAATTTTAATAGAAAGTTACAGAATTGAAAATAGGAACATACATACACACACACACACACACACACACAGGAATCAATCTGGTATGGCTGTTTACTCAGGGTGGAGAGTAAATGCTACCACTGTGAGTCTTCTTGACATCATATTTTGTTTCAACAACTACTGGTGTGCTGGTACCCCATTTTAGCTCATACATAGGAACAGTAGCATATATGACTATAAGATGTTATCTTACAGGCATCTTATTTATTTATACAAAGGCACCCTGAATACAGTGGGGTTTTTTTGTATGTGCTTAATACTTTAATGGTTTAAAAAATAACCATGTTTCAAAGACTTTTTAAAAAACTAAAACATAAAGGAAAAACAAAATATTTAACTGTTTCTAATGAAAATTATTTTAGAACCACAGGTGTCTTCATTACACTGCCTCAAACCTATCTGTAACACACTCTGTTCACCATCTCAAGTCTATTCAAAGTGACAAATCTACCCGTCAAGTTGTGACCTATAAGGAATCTGAGGTAAATATTTAAGTGCACGAACTTATTAAGAATATTACTGCACTTTAATTATGAGACCTTTTAAAAAATGTACTTTTATTAACTACTGTCTATGCATTAACAAAGCTACTAAATGATATTAAACAAAAAAGTAAAACTATGATTAAATAATGTTATAATGATAATTGGAATATAAAATTAAAACTCAGATCTACAGGAAAAATATCAGCTTTACCATTGCTACATTATACTTCATGGGTCACTTTAATTCTTAATAACTCTCTGAGATTTTCATGCCTTTCTAAGGGGATGACAGCTTCTGAGATGATTGTTACTGCTATATTAGGAACTTTTTCATGTATATAATGTCTGTTGCATGTGAGTTTATCAATGAAGATATAACATTTAGGGAAAGAAAGACAAAACATCTACCAGTGAGAAAGAGTTCCAAATAAAATACCTCTTCATTCTTTGTTGAAATTCGCTGACGAAAACTCACTGGCTTCCTGTTCTCATCCACTTCATAATCCTCCTCATTCATCCATTCATTAAAAATGTCAGTGTCTAAAATCCACTTCACATGAACCTAAAATCACATCAAAACATAAATATCTATATAAATAATAAAATCACTTGAGTTTTTAAGTTATTCAGAATGAAACTGATTATTTTCAAATCCTCAATTACATAAGATATATTAAGAACTTACTACTAGAAAAGATGAGATGTGACTTAAACTTCTCTAATTTTTATTCCATTTCTTTCACTGAATAAAGAGAACAAGAAGGGCTGGGGCTGTAGCTCAGTGGCAGAGCGCTTGCCAGGCATGTGTGAGGAACTGGGTTTGATCCTTAGCACCACATAAAAATAAATAAAATGAAGACATTCTGTCCATCTACAAGTACAAAAAAAAAAAAAATTTTTTTTTAAAAAAGAAAGAAAAGAACTGTATCTTGGGTTAGACTGAGATATTGATAGCTAAAATGCCAAAACTGATAATCATGTCATCACTATCTTCATGAAAAACCACTGATAAAAAAAATTCAACTGCACAGAACCAAAGACAGTTATTGTTCTAGGCAAAAAGGATATCTTTAGGTTTGGGCAATCAATAACACTGTCAATTAAATTGAACATGATGAAAAATGAGCATAGTAATAGAGACCATCAAGTACATATATTCTTCTGTAGAGATCTTTTCCAGGAAGGCCTAGAAATGTAGCTCAGTGGCAAAATGCCCATGAGTTAAATCCCAAATTAAAAAAAAAAGTTATAAAAATATATAACTGTTGATATTCAAGCTTTTAACATATGCAAAATAAAATAAAAACAAGATATATGCTGTTATACACCCTATATACGGTGAAATTATTGTGGAAAAAAGAACATTAAAATATTTAAAATAATGGTTACATATGAAAGAGAAAGAAAGAGGTCAAACAAAAGTGTCACTTCAAAGCTTACAGTAATTTCCTAGATATTTCTTTAATAATCACTTATTTCACTATTTTATATTCAATAATTTAATTTTTTTAATTAAGTGCTGCATTTGTCATAATTATCAAATCTTCTTTAGGAATACAAACTAATATGCAAGCATTATTTTATAAAATAATACAGACAATGACAAAGAATTCCATTTTAAATTTTTGCCAAAAGGCAGATAGCTCCTCTTCCTCAGGTTTCAGAGGTTAGACTTCTAAGCATTAAATAGTGTTCTTCACAGCCCTACCCACACCTTGATTTCAGGCCAGTGAGGCCCATGTTGAACTCATAAACAATAAGACAGTAAGATTCTAAAAAGAAAAAAGAAAAAAATTCTAGTAGCTAGGCATTGTGGAGCACACCTGTAGTCCTGGATACTCAGAAAGCTAAGTCAGGAGGATCACTTGAGCCCAGGAGCTCAAAAATTAGCCTGAGCAAGAGATAGAACCTAATCTCAGAAAATAAAACAAAACAAATAGTATTCTAATAATCTACTGTAGTAACAGTCCATTTACATAACATAAAAATACAGGATCAAGAAGAAAAAATACATAACATTTAACATTTTTGCTTTTAGTTGTCAATGGATCTTTATTTTATTTATTTATCTATGGTGCTGAAAATCAAACCCAGTGTTTCACCCATGCTAAGCAAGTGCTCTACCATGGAACAACAACCCCAGCCCCATATTTAACATTTTTAAAAAGAGCACGTTCATTTATTTTTAGAACATTTATTCATTCATTTTTATTCATTTATTTTTAGAACAGAGTGTATGAATTCCAATGTTATTTAGAGTTCACGTATTATATCAAAACATAGGATTTACAATATTATGGAAGCCATGTTACTTAAACAACTATTTAAACTAAGGGAAAATGTTGTGTCAACTGAAAATAGAAGGGAGTTCTTTAGTTTGATTTCTCAAAGCTAAGTGATCAACAAAGTTAAAAAAAAAAAAAACCACTGATTTTTCATTTGTGTCAAAGTGCATTCTATTGTCACATGTAATTAAAACACATTTTTTAAAAAAGTAAAAAACCCCACTGATTTAATATATTTACAATTTGTTTTTATTGTTGACAGGATGTTTTTAGTTATAGTTATTATTGGCTTTTTTGGGGGGGTGGGGAGCAAATGGGGACTGAACTTGGGGCCAGGCTACCACTGAGCTACAAACCCAGTGCTTCCTATTTTTTATTTTGAGATACAGTCTTGCTAAGTTGCCTAGGCCAGCTTTGAACTTTATGTTCCTCCTGCTTCAGGTTCCCAAGTCTCTGGAATTACAACCTTGCAGCATCCACCCATCATCTTTTTTTTTTTTTTCTTTTTTTTTTGGGGGGTGCTGGGGATTGAACCCAAAGCCTTGGGCATGTGAGGCAAGCACTCTACTAACTGAGTTAAATCCTCAGCCCCTCATCCATCATTATTTACTTTTAAAAGTACTTACAGGGGGGCTCAGCAGTACTTGTGGCTCAGCAGCAGAGTACTCGCCTAGTATGTGCAAGGCCCTGAGTTCAATCCTCAGCACCACATAAAAATAAATAAGATAGAGCTGGGGTTGTGGTTCAGTGGTAGTGTGCTTGCCTAGCATGCATGAGGCACTGGGTACGATTCTCAGCACCACATACACATATAAATCAATAAAGTAAAGGTCCATTATCAACTAATTTTTAAAAATAAATTAATTAATTAAATAAAAGTCCTTGTAGGGCTGGAGGTGGAGTTGCCTGGCAGAGTACACACTTACTATGTGTAAAGCCCAGGTTCTATCCCCAGAACCCCAAAAAATCATATCCAAATAAAAAATAGCAATTCCATTTTACTAAAAAGAATCAAAGAAAAATATGTCATTATTTGCCTTCTTCCTCTCAAGTACTTACCAATTCCAATCATTTATACTAAGGAATCATGGGAAAAAACAGACATAACTCACAGAAATGTCACTCAAGGGGACGTTTCTCACTAGTTTTCTAAATGCAGGCATCATATTTATGACCCAAACCCCAACTTTATTTGGTATATGAAAATAGTTTTAAAAACCTCTCTAATTTACACATTAAGCAAAAATTTCAACACTGAAAAGTAAAGTTAACATTTTCCTAATAAATAATTTAACCATAGGTATAAACAGACTTCTCTTTTCTGGTGGGGGTAGTGGGAATTGAACTCAAGGTACATTCTACTACTGAGCTACAACCCCATCCCACACAAACTTTTCTTAATAGCACAAATAAGCACGACAGTTTCTAGGAAGGGGGGGAGGTTAAGGTAATACTTTAATGATGTACATATTATGAAAAAAAGAAAAGGGAGCGGAGGGGAAAAGGGTAATGGAAGGATAGCAGAATAAAATAGACATTATTATTGCTGTGAGTATATACGTGACTGCATGACCAATGTAATTCTACAACCTTTACACTAAGAAAAATGAGAAATTATATCCCATCTGATTCAAATGTATGATATGTCAAGATCATTTTACTGTCATGTGTAACTAATTAAAACAAATTTAAAAAAAAAGAAAAGTTAAAGAAAAAAATATAAAAACAAAATATTTTCACGAAATACACTTTTAAATTTTAAATTTATGTACACAATAGTGTAGGAAGTTTAATGGTAAAAAAGGGGGGGAAATAAATGCCTTAAAGGCTAAAAGGAAAACATTAAACACAATATTAAGAGAATATGTTTAACTCAACCACATATGGAAACCTAGTATAGAGCAAATGTCAAATCACTGAGGAAAAGGTGGTCTTTTTAATACATTATGTTTCTAAATATAAACAATTGGATAACCATTTGAAAAGAACATGATGAGATCCATTCTTTTTATCAGAGTAAAATCAAAACAGATTAGAGATCTAAATTTAAAAGGTGAAACTATGTGACAGCTAGAATAAAACAATGTGAATTCCTAACAAGGCAGGTTTTTGCTAAATCCAACTAAAATTCTGGATGCAATAACAGAAAAGATGGAAAAAACTGATCACATAAAAATAATAAATTTTAAGCTGGGCACAGGGACATGTGCCCAGAGACTTGGAAGGCTGAGAGGCAGGAGGATCCCAAGTTCAAAGCCAGTCTCAGCAATTTAGTGAGGCCCTAAGCAACATAGCAAAACCTTGTATGAAAATGAAAAAATAAAAAAAGTTAGGGCCAGGTACAGTGGAACACGCCTATAATATCAGAGACTTGGGAGCCTGACGCAGGAGGACAGCAAGTTCAAAGAGAGCCACAGCAATTTAGCGAGGCCATAAGCAACTTAGGGAAGTGCTGTCTCAAAATAAAAAAATAAAAAGGGCTGGGGATGTGGCTGACTGGGTAAGCATTCCTGGGGTTCAATCCCTAGTACCAAGAAACAAAAACAATGTTTGGGGGGGGGGCGGTGAGAACAAAGACATGTAGATTTTAAATGATAAATCAAAGAAGGAACAAAGTATTAATGACAGGCAAATCTGGATAAAGATTTCAGAAGTATGCAATATACTATTTTTTTCCCCTATGGTTGTTTTTGTGAGTTTAAAATTACTGCAAATAAAGATTCTTTTAAAAAAAGAGTCAAGCCAAGCATAACCCCAGCTGCTCAGGAGACTGAGGCGGAAGGATATCAAGTTCAAAGCCAGCATGGACAACTTAGTGAGACCCTGTCTTAAAATTAAAAAGGGCTGGAGATGTAGCTCAGTGGTAGCATACCTTGGGTTTAAGCCCCAGTACCACAAAAACACACAAAAAAGGTCTGGTGGGTAGCATATACATGTAATCCCAGTGGGCTAGGGAAGCTGAGGCAGGAGGATGGCAAGTTTGAGGCCAACCTGGACAACATAGCAAGATCTTGTCTCCAAATAAAGTAAGATGGGCTGGGGATGTAATTCAGTGGCAAAGCAACCCTGAGTTCAATCTCTAATACCAAATAAAATTAAAAAAAAAAAAAAAAAGATTCAGAGAAGAAAAAAAAAAAAAAACAAAAAAAAACACCTTATTTCAGCCAGGCACAACACAGCATACCTGTAGTCCTATATACATAGGAGGCTGAAGCAAGAGGATCAAAATTTGGAGACCAGGGGCTGGGGATATACCTCAGTTAGCAGAGTGCTTGCCTCTTATGCACAAGGCCCTGGGTTCAATCCCCAGCACCACCAAAAAAAAAAAAAAAAAAGTTGGAGGCCTATATGGGCAACAATGTGAGACCCCACCTCAAAAAACAAACAACAACAACAACAACAACAAAAAAGTGGAATTTTTGTTGTTATTGTTAATCACATTTACATATATAAAAGCTAAAGTTTTTTTCTAAGGGCCACATGATTAGCACAATTAGAAATAAAATGAGGTCAGAACATTCAATTATTTAAACTGGGGATATAGCTCAGTGATAAGAGCAGTTGCCACTATACACAAGGCCCTGGGGCTTAATCACCAAAACTACCAAATAAAAATAAACACATAAAAGGATAAATTTCTTCAAAGAATTAATAGAAGAAATCTTGGAGATGGGTATAAAGTAGTACTTTGTACTATTCTTGCAATTGCAAAAATTATTTCTGTGTTTAAAGTTCAGGGAAATAATACGTGTGAAATCATGGTTCAATCCCTAGCATCACCAAAACAAAAACAAAAAACAAAAAACAAAAAAAAAAGAAAAATGTTGGGGGGGAGGTCAATGCAGAATTTTATCATTATAATAGAATTGGTTAATAAAACAAATCTGTTATCATAGTAATTCATTTAGGAACTGCTTCCAAACTTCCTAAATGACACACCAATGATGTTCAAACTCTACTGCTCTCTCCAACCAAAATCTGACTTGGTCTGGGATTCTTCTCCATCATCAATATAGACATTTCATCCAAGACCTTGAGAAGAGGTTATGGATGTCTATTAAAAAGGATGACTAGAAAGGGCAATCATTTTTCTGTATCTCCTTAAAAGATTATTTAGAGTTAAGATGGGTTAATAGATTATGTAAGTTTTTTTTAAACCTGGGCACAGTGGCTCATGACTTGGGAGGCTGAAGCAGGAGTATCACAAGTCCAAGTCCTTACTTAGCAATTATGTAGGCCCTAAGCAACTTAGCAAGACCCTGTCTCAAAAAATAAAAAAGGTTGTGGCTCAGTGGTTAAGGACTCTTGGGTTCAATCTGTAATATCCGCCCCCCCCCCAACTTTTTCTAGGTCCATACTTTGTTGCCCTTTAATTTTTAACAAAGATAGCTTGGGCTAGGGATGTGGCTCAAGCGGTAGTGTACTCGCCTGGAATGCGTGGGGCACTGGGTTCGATCTTCAGCACCACTTAAAAAAAATAAAGATGTTGTGTCCACCAAAAACTAAAAAATAAATATTAAAAAAATTCTCTCTCTCTTAAAAAAAGAAAGAAAGAAAGATAGCTCATCTGCTGAATTTAAAATTTCATCAAAGATTTTTTTTTAAACAAACATTTACCTTCCAAGGCTTTTCTGGAATTGGTGGATCTTCAATTTCAGCATCAACATCATTACTATGGACCCAAGTATCATAGCTATAAAATAAATAAAATTTAAAAAACAAATTAGAATCAAATTTCATTCTTAATCTTTATCAAACAATAAGGATACATTTTAGCTAGGTACAGTGGTATATACCTATCATCCCAACAGACTGAGGCAGAAAGATCATAAGTTCGAAGCTAGCCTTTACAATTTAGTGAGACCCTATCTTAGGGGTGGGGGGAGGGAGCCGGACACAGTGGCCCATGCCATTTAATCCCAGTAACTTGGGAAATCACAAATTCAAGGCCAGACCGAACAACTTAGCAAGACCCTGTCTCAAAATAAAAATATAAAGGGTTGGGGATACATCCCCAGTGGTAAAGCATCCCTGTGTTAAATTTCTAATACCAAAAGACAGAAAGAAAGAGAAAATTTCCGGTGGGTGGGAAGTGGAGAGAGAAGGAGGAAGTGCTGGGGAGTGATACTGCCAATTTTTTGTTATATTGTAAACACGTACAAACATGTAACAACAAACCTCATCATTATATACAACTATAGTAAACCAATAAAAAAATATGGAAAGAGGATTTAACAAGCATTTCACTGAATCTATAAAATCACTTTGTATAATTGATAAAATTTAACACTATTAATCCTTCCAACTCTTTAACATGGGATAGTTTTCTATTTATATTTTCTTTAACTTTTCTCCGTAAAGTTTTATAGTTTTTATTGTATAAATATTTCACTTCTTTGTTAAATTTAACTTCAAAATGTTTTATTCTAGGGCTGGGATTGTGGCTCAGCGGTAGAGTGCTCACCTAGCACGTGCAAGGCCCTGGATTCGATCCTCAGCACCACATAAAAATAAAGATATTGTATTCAACTACAACTAAAAAAAATAAATTAAAAAAAGTTTTATTCTTCTGATGCTACTGTATATGGGATTGTTACTCATTTCCTTTTTAGAATTTTCATTTTCAATATATAAAAATGCAACTGATTTGGGGTATTGACTTTATATCCTGTTATTCTGCTCAATTCATTTAAAAAAATTTTTTTAAAGGAGTTAGGGAAGTAGCTTAGTGGCAGAGCACTGAACTAGCATACTCAAAGACTTTGTTCAATCCCCATGACTTCCAAAAAAAAAAGATTGAGAATGTAATTTTAAAATACTATCATTATATCATTATAACAAGTTATCAGTTCTATCTTTACTAATGTACCAAGAAATCTCCTTGGCAGTAGTCATTATTATAGCCTTAATATTGCCTGAAATGGGCAACTCAGTTCACAGAATTCTCAAATTCTTGTTCCCAAAAAGTGTTTCTTGTCCTTCAGAACAGTACTTTTCACCTGGTGCTTGTTCCTTCTTTTTTCACCTCTGTTGCCAATTTCTAGATTTCGCCCCAAACCTCTAATAACTAAAGGCTCCAGGGCTCAATTTTTAGAACAAAACTCTTTTCTTGGTGATTTCATTCACTCCTGTGACTTCAAACAAATACTAACGATTTAAAATCTTGTATCTGTCCTCTATTCTGAATTCTGAACTCATAAATTCAAGAGCCAATTCCACACCTCTTTTGAGTATAACAAGTGTTCCAAACCTAACACACTTAAATCTCAATTTGTAAACGAATTCAGACTGCAATAATGCACAATATAGTCAATTAACCTCATCTCAATAAATGACAACCCATTTTTTCAACTATGCAGGCCAAAATTCTTGGAGACATTCTTGATTTTACTCTCAAATGTATCCTAAAATCAAACCATCAGCAAATTCTACTGCTCTTCATTCAAACTGTCCAGAGTCTACCTTCTTCTCAATCTTTCACTGTGTTCACTGGTTTCCCTGCTTCATCCATTGCCTTCCTGTCAATTTTTCACAAAACCAACCAAAATGATCCTTTTGAAATCCCAGCCTGTCCATAAAACTCCACTACTCAAATAAAATCTGCCAGGGGATCCTATCTAGTCAGAGTAGACTCACAATGCTAATAGTGGGCCTGGGGATACATCTCAGTTGGTAGAGTGCTTGCCCTGCATGTAGAAGGCCCTAGGATCAATCCCCAGCAACACACACACACACACACCCTAATAGTGGCTTCCCAAGAACTCAAATTCTAGTTCCACTGCTGTCACTATGCAGCAATTTGACTCCTTTACCTAGTCTTCTCCTTTTATTCCACACTCATGTTATAACTGAGCAACACAGGTTTTAATTCTTCAACATGTGCCATCAAGCCTATGTACACTTTACATAGGCTATTTACCTACTGCCTGGAATGTTCCTCGCTGCTGTGATATCTACATAGTTCACTTCATTACTCAAAGATCTCTTCTCAGTGAGCTTCAACTCACTAATCTAAATCACTACATATATTCTAACACAAATTTGACATAAGTATAAAATTATCTACCAAGTAAAACTCTTAATACAAATACACAGGCCAATAAATTATTATAAAAACCAAATGATATCTAATCAAATATAGATGATTTCTCTTTATGTCATTTGTTTATGTATTTTTAAATTTTCAATTATATGTTTTAGACACTACTTAGAAGTCAGTTCAGAAACATTAGGGAGTAGCACAGGTCTGTTTATCTTGCTGGCACAGGGAGAACACACCTATAATCCCTGAAACTCATGTGGCTCAGGCAGGAGGATCACAAGTATCAAGGCCAGTCTCAGCAACTTGGCAAACACCCAAGTAACTTAGTGAGACCCTGTCTCATAATAAAAAATTAAAAAGGGCTGAGAGTATTGATTACTGGTAAAATACCTCTGGATTCAATACCAAGTACTGCACCTGACTCCAATTGAACATATCTAAAGACACAGTTCGTTCTTTTAAAACTATAATTATGAGCTAAGTACAGTGGCACATGACTGTAATCCCAGCGACTTGAGAGGCTGAGGCAGAAGGATTGCAAATTCAAGTCCAACTGCAGCAAATCTGTGAAACCTTTCTCAAACTAAAAAAGAAAAAGAATTAAGGATATAGCTCATTGGTAAAGCACCCCTCAGTTCAATCCCTACTATCACAATATATAACTGTGCCACAAACAGTAGCACAAACCTGTAGTCCTAACTAGCTAGGAGGAAGGCTTGGTTGGAGGATCACTTGAGCACAGGACTTTGAGACTAGCCTAAGTATCATGGTAACACCCAGTCTCAAAAAACAAAAACAGAACAAAAGGAAATAAATATAGCCAGGCATAGTGGCCTAGGAATGTAATCCCAACCACTCTGGAGGCCGAGGCAGGAGGATTACAAGTTCAAGGCTAGCCTGGGCAATATAGCAAGGCCCTGTCTTTAAAGACCATGGCGGCAGGCGGGAATGGGGGTGGGTGCAAGGGCAGCTGAGGATTTATCTCAGTAATTGAGTGCTTGCCTGGCATGCACAAGGCCCTGGGTTCCAACCCCAGTACCAAAATCAAACAAAACAAAAGCACCTCATACACAAAATCAGACAAATTTTTTTGTCTTCTAGTGAAGAACTAAACATCTATTCAATAGTCTTATTCCTCCTCAGTGGAAATGGAATCTGATCAACCTCTATAGCCAAATATCAATTTTAAAAAAAGTACAGACAAACAACCTGGTTTCTAAAATAGTACATTGCAGAAAGGGGTAAAGAAGACAAAGGAGAACCTATAAATTGGAATTATATATACCAGTTAATCAAACAGGTGAATTTTATTTGACTTCTAATTCAAACAAATATCAATCATCAATCAAATATATCACTTACATGACAACATATTAAGTAATTAGTCCTTTTTTTTTAGTACTGACAATGATGTTATGATTATTTCCTTTTAAAAATGATTCCTTATATTTTAGAAATGCATACTTAAATATTTATGGTAAAATGATGTGTCTAGGATTTGATTCAAATAACTTGGGAAGACAAAAATCAGAAGGGAGTTGACTATCCCACTCTACATAGCAGGACCAGAATAAAATCAACACCAAAACAGTTCTCCTGTAAATTCAGGAAAATAAAGTACATGGAAAGCTATACCTAAATCCATGTGCCCTGGACAGACACACTATTGAAAAAGTACCCCCTACCCACTACCACTAACATCAAGGTATTACATGTAATATTGTTTATTCATGCTACAAATACTCAAACAGTATGACATATAAGAGTAGGAACAACACTAGGTAAATAAATTTAAGACTGGAAAAACTTCTCAGACATAATTTCATCCTTAATAGTTTTTGAAAAATCAAAACAAGCCAATCACAAATATGAAGAAGAAAATTTCATCTCTTAAAGGAAACAGATCTAAACTAGCAACCTAAAACCTCTTTGCAAATGCATAGAAGCTCAGTTTTTTGAGAGGGGAAAAAAACACAACTTGTGATCTCATAGAATTCCATAGCTTAAATAAGTCAAAAGCCTTACATATATATATATATCATACCTCAGAGCACACACATCAATATTAATTATCTGAAGAGAGGATCTCAAAGGCTCCAAACACAAAGTAATGATTAGGAGATGGAAACATTAATTACCCCGATTTGATCAGTACAGACTAAATACACATTTGTATTGAAATATCGGAACATACCTCATAAATATGTATAATTATTAAATGCTACTAAAAATATTTAAAAATTTTAAAGAGATAGAAATGCTCACTAACCCTGATTTGATCATTATATGCTCTATAAATGTACAAAATTATCAAACTGTACCCCATAAATACATGCAATAAAAAAAAATAAAAAAAAAAAAAAAGTTAGTGGTGCAGGCCTGTAATCCCAGCATCTCAGGAAGCTGAGGAAGGAGGATCTCGAGTTCAAAGCCAGACTCAGCAAATAGTGAGGCACAAAGCAACTCAGTGGGACCCTGTCTCTAAATAAAATATAGAATAGGGCTGTGTTCAATCTCCAGTTAACAAAAAAAGGAGGCGGGGGATATGGCTAGGTGGTTAATCACCACTGGGTTCAATTCCTGGCACTAAATAAATAAAAATAAAAAATTACCTCTCTGGGGGCAGGGGTTGTAGCTCAGTGATAGAGCATCTGCCTTGCATGTGCTGGGTTCAATCCTCAGCACCACATAAAAATCAATTAATAAGGGGCTGGGGTGTGGCTCAGTAGTAGAACACTTGCTTAGCACATGCAAGGTCCTGGGTTTGGTCCTCAGCACCACATAAAAATAAATAAAACAAAGGTATTGTATTCAACTTAACTCAAAAAATAAATAAATAAAATTACCTGTCTGGGTAGAAGCCCCAATGTACTAACACCTGCTTGTCTTTTCTCATCACTGGTCTCAGCCATTCTTCTGAAAAGAGAAAAAAGAAAAACCTTAATTAAACTGATGAAATAAGTGAGCCAATTATGATTTAGCCTTAATTGTTATCAAGACTTTTTGGTTTTCTTTTGGTCTGCTTTAAATGACTTCAGAGCTCACCATCCATAGATAGCTAGCTCCATTCCTCAAGGCTTAAGGTGAGGCTGAACATCTTGGAGGAAGAGTGCCGCAGAGAGAAGCATTTCATATCATGATTAGAAAGCAGAAAGACTCTACTCAAAACCGCGTCCCCAATTCCCACATCCTCCAGCCACACCCTATCATTTCGGTTACCACTCAATTGATCACTATCAGGAATTAATTCATTGATTGGGTTAAGATTCTCAGAATCCAATCATTTCTCCTCTGAACCTTCTTGTACCATCTCACATGTAAGCCTTTAGGGACACCTCACATCCAAACCATAACAGTTTTACTATGAGCGGGGCCAGTGAGAAAAGAGGGAAAGAGATTTTTAATTGAAGACCATCTACCAAATTAAAGAAAAATTTCTCAGCTTATGTATTCAGACTTTCTGGATTTTAGGTCTACTATCTATCACTCCCTCAAATACACACTGGGAAATGAACCCAGTGCTGCTTTACCACTGAGTTATATCCCCAGCACTTTAAAAAAATTTTTTTTGTAATTATAGATAGACAGAATGCCTTTATTTAATTTGTTTATTTTTATATGGTGCTAAGGATGGAACCCAGTGCCTCATACCTATTAGGTAAGCGCTCTGCCACTGAGCTATAGACACAGGCCCCATCCCTAGAACTTTTCATTTTGAATAGGCTCTCACTTAGTTGCTGAGGCTGGCCTCAAATTCACAATCCTCCTGCCTTAGTCTCCCAAGTCACTGGGATCACAGGTTGTGCCACCGCACCTGGCTACTATCTGTCACTCTGGATAAAACCAACGGCAATAAACTATCCCACTCCCTTTCATCTGTCTATCCCTCTTTTCCACTCAAGTCACAATCACCATAATCTTCACAGCTTCATTTCCAATGTACAACCTCACATCCATTTTCTATAAAGTTCTGCATTAACTTCAACTTCAAGGTTTGAGTCATGCCTCATCTCCTTGATGAAGGCACTTTACTATTCTTCTTTCTACAAATTCACTTTTCCTGGTGTCCTACAGTGCTTACAATGCTACATTAGGGACTGAAGATATACCTCAGTGGTACAATGCTTGCCTAGCATGTGTGAGATCCTGGATTTGATCATCAACACCTAGGAGGTATTTAAAAAAAAAAAAAGAAAAATCTTTTCAATATCATTTTTATTACTCTTTAGTTGTCTCATATCTGTTAATCTAGCACTCCTAACAAGGGTACAAGAACTTTGCAAGTGTAGCTTAGTGGGTAAAGCACTTGCCTAGTGTGTATATGACCCTAGATTTGATTTCCAGCACCATTTAAAAATAAAACAAAAGTATAAACCAGGTGCAGTGGTGCAAGCCTGTACATCAGCTCGGGTTTCTGAGGCAGAAGGATTGCGAATCCACAGCCAGCCTCAGCAATGAGGCACTAAGCAACTCAGTAAGACCCTGTCTAAATAAAATACAAAATAGTGCTGTGGATGTGATTCAGGGTCGAGTACCCTTAGTTCAATCCTCATACCAAAAAAGAAAAAGTATGAGCATTGTGTTCATAGCCAGCCCCAGCAATGAGGCACTAAGCAACTCAGTAAGACCCTGTCTAAATAAAATACAAAATAGTGCTGTGGATGTGATTCAGGGTCGAGTACCCTTGAGTTCAATCCCTGTACCAAAAAAGAAAAAGTATGAAATTGTGTTCATTTTGCAGATAGGTACAAATTAATAATTTTTACTGATTTTAATCACAGTTGCGATTAATTCTACATTTCAGCACTGGTTATCATGTGCTTCTTTTTTTTTTTTTTTTTAAAGAGAGAGTGAGAGAGGAGAGAGAGAGAGAGAGAATTTTTAATATTTATTTTTTAGTTCTCGGCAGACACAACATCTTTGTTGGTATGTGGTGCTGAGGATCGAACCCGGGCCGCACGCATGGCAGGCAAGCGCGCTACCGCTTGAGCCACATCCCCAGCCCTCATGTGCTTCTTTGATAGTCTGAATTTATCTTAGAAACTTAATTCTAGTAGTAAAAGGAAGTTCTGAAAAAAGCCCCTTGAAAGCCAAGAAACCAACAAAAAAGCCAATCTTTGTGTAAATATATATTTTTTTAGATCCTGTTTTTAATTCTTTTGGATTAATAGCCAGAAGTGTCATCACTGGATTGTTAATTCTATTTTTAGATCTGGGGATGTGGCTGAGTGGTAGGCTACTTGCCAAGCATCCTTGAGGTCCTGAGTTTGATTCTCATCACTGCAATAAACAATACTACAACTTCTAGATTTTTCAGAGACCCTTTACACTGCTTTTTCATAGTTGCCACAGTGCAGAGTTTTCATAGTTGCCAGCAGTGCACAGAATTTCCAATTTCTATACATCATTTCCAACATTTATTAATTTCTGGTTTTTTGATAGTGGCCATTCTACATGTATAATCTGATCTCATTGTGGTTTTGATTTGCATTTCTCTGATAATTAGTGTTGTTGCGCATCCACGTGCTTGTTGACCATTCGTGTATCTTCTTTGAAGAAATATCTACTGAAGTCTGTTGTCTACTTTTTATTCAATTTGGATATGGCTGAATGGTTAAGCACTTGCCTAGCATTCATGGAGCCTTTGGTGTGACCCCCAATACCACCCTGGGGAAAAATTCAACTTAAAAACTTGGAGACACTGTGTTAGCAACAGAATAGTATCATACACTGCTATCTTCCACCTCCACCTAGTGGCAACCAGTTGCTAATACCAAACAGAAAAGCTGAAGAAAGGCCAACTAATTATAAGCTCTATAACAGTAACTAGATACAGAGTGATGTTTCTCTTTATGAAAAGATTAAGCTATGGTTTCTTAGATTTGATACCAAACATACAATCAACCCACCCTCCTTCCCCCACCAAAAAAATTAAATTCTTATGATCATTTTTTTAATAATTGTATGGTCTGTGTAGTTATGTCTTCTCCTTTCACTCTTGATATTTATTACTTGTTCTTTTTTTCCTTCCTGTGTGCACAGCCGGATTTTTATAACCTTATTAGTCTTTCAAAGAATCACTGACATTGCTAGATCACATTGTTGCATATATATTTTTTAAGATGTCAATGGACCTTTATTTACATGTGATGCTGAGAACTGAATCTAGTGCCTCACACATACTAGTTCTACTACAGAGCTACAATCCCAGCCCCTGATTATTACATATTTTTTAATTTATTAATTTCTACTCCATTATTTTTTCTTTAGATTAAAATATATTTGGAGTGATTTTTGATCTTTTTTCTTTCTTAATATATGCATTTAAAGATACATATGTAATAGGTTTAAGCATTTGCTTACACTGTATCTTATAAAACTTAATGTTGTTATACTCTGTTATTTTTAAAATTATTACTCAGTCAAAGGATTTTCAGTTTTCAGTATAATTTCTTCTTAACCCATGGATTATTTAGCAATATATTCCTTGAATGTTCAAATACACATGCAGCATAAATCTTAAAGAGTCAGGAAAATATCACTCCATGGGGTTATTGGCCATTCAAATATGATATAATTTGGCTTCCTATATGAAAGTCATGCTGCAATGTGCAGTCTTTACCCAAAGACTTAATTGTGGTATCCCTACAGATTTATTTCTCATTATAAATTAACTTTTATTATGTATTTCAACTCAGTTTTTTGAAAGAATGGTTAGCACATGTTAAGTTTCTGTAGGTATGATAAACTTTGCCCACTGTTGAAATCATCTTTCAGGGCAAGTTAAACATCAAAAATCAAACCACTGGGGGCTAGGACTGTAGTTCAATGGTAGAACTCTTGCCTAGCATATGTGAGAGACTGGGTTTGATCCTAACACCACATAAAAATAAATAAAATAAAGACATTCTGTCCAACTACATTAATTAATTTTAAAAATAATCGAAATACTGAAAATTCACCAAACTAGTATGCTACTCTTGGACTCTACTGACAACCAGTCAACTGTTTTTTTCCTCAAAAATAAGAGATGATTGCCAACAAAGAAATAAAAGCTGGACAAAACAAAGTAACTCTAATTAAGGAACACAATTCTTTGTTGAAGAAAAAAAAAAAACTATGTATTTAAATAGAATGTGGGGGCTGGGGATGTGGCTAAGGAGGTAGTGCGCTCGCCTGGCATGCGTGCGGCCCGAGTTCGATCCTCAGCACCACATACCAACAAAGATGTTGTGTCCGCCGAGAACTAAAAAATAAATATTAAAATTCTCTCTCTCTCTCTCTTTAAAAAATAAAATAAATAATAAATAATAAAAAATTCTCTAAAAAAATAAAAATAAAAAATAAATAGAATGTGAGGGGCTGGGGTTGTGGCTCAGAGGTAGAGCTCTCACCTAGCATGTGCAGGGCATTGGGCTCGAGCCTCGGCATCAACAAAAATAAATAAATAAAAGAATTGTGTCCAACTATAAAAAACTAAAAAAATATTTTAATAGAGAAATAAATAAATGGAATGTGAAATTTAATACTTAAAACTCACTTTAAAAAGCTGGATATAGGAACTGGGGTTGTGGCTCAGCGGTAGAGTGCTCACCTAGCACATGTGGAGCACTGGGTTCAATCCTCACCACCACACAAAAATAAAATAAAGGTATTGTGTCCAACTACAACTAGAACATTTTTAAAAAGTTGAATATACTATTTAAACCTGATATAGAAGCCATATGATATGATGTATGAGTTTATTAGTTCACAGCCAGAACTAACTTACCATCCTCTTGTGAAGAAGGATATGGATAAATGTGGTGGGAAGCTTTTGACTTCTCCTCAGTAAAGGTTCCCTGGAAAGCAAATGAAAAAATTACATAAAAATATAACACATAGCAAGCAAACTAATTAGTTAGAAATTCTCTAATAATTATAAAAGTACTCATTTATTTATATTTGAAGACTATATTATTTTTCATTAAGGAAAAGGGTTATTAATAACAAAGATATTGTCTATAGACATACAAGTTGAGTATCCCTTATCCAAAATGCTTGGGACCTGAAGTGTTTCAGATTTCTCAGTTTTTCGGATGTTGGAATACTTGCAAAGACCTTACCAGTGGAAAATTGCTAATCCAAAAATCCAAAATGCCCCAAAATTCAAACCTTTTAGAGTATCATAGTGGCACTCAAAATGTTTAGTATTTCAGAGTATTTCAGAATTCAGAGTTTCAGATTAGGGATGTCCTACCTTTACCTCTTAGCTAATTCTCTCTCTCTCTCTCTATGGGTACTTCTAACTAATTCTTAAAATTGCTCCAAAACTAACACAATTATCATCATTAACTTATGTGAATTAATGTAGGTTTTATGACATAGAGCCATAAGCTTAGGCTACACAGATATATGGTGGGACATAAGAAATTACTGCCCCCACCTTACCCCCCCATTCACACACACACACACACACACACACGCACACGCACACGCACACACTCTCTCTCACTCACACACACACACACACACGCACACACGCCATTGCTGTAGTTTTAAGTCAATGCTGGAATACTAATGAACATAAAAAGTCAAGTTATAACTAGGTCACAGCCAGAATATTGAATACAGTCTAGGACATACTTGGAGCAATTTAGATCAAAGTATGTTCACTCTAGAAACCATAAGATGAATGGAAAGTCTTATAATCAGTTGTAAGTAGTATGTCAATACATTCTCTGAATTGTTTCTTTGTCTCCTCTCCCAAAACTGGTGATTGACCCAGGAGTGCTCTAGAACTGAGCTATATCCCAAGTCCTTTTTATTTTGAGACAGATTTCAGAAGTTGCTGAGGCTGGCCTGGAACTTGTAATCCTCCAACTTCAGCCTCCCATGTAGATGAGATTAAGGCATGTGCCAAAGTACTTGGCTGTTTTCAATTTTTTAATATTAATTTTTTAGTTATTGGTGGACACATATCTTTATTTTTATTTGGTACTGAGGTTCAAACCTAATGCCTCATGCGTGCTAGGCAAGCGCTCTACCTCTGAGCCACAATCCCAGCCCCATTTTATTTTTTCACAATGAATATTTACTATTACAATCAGACAAACACTTAGTAATGCTTCATCAAAGAATTCTAAAATTTATGAAAATTTGGAGCTGAGTTAGGTGCTTCATAAGATAAGGAATTCTCAATCATTGAAATGTTTTGGGTGCATTTTTTGAACAGCCACCAGAGGAGGGAAAGATGTATCAATATTCAATAAGTCAGAGGCAACAAACAGAACAGCACATGTTGGCATATACACCCTATTAGACAGTCCTGGATTTGAACCGTAGCTTTGTATACTATTTGCATGACATGGAACAACTTATTTTTATGCATCAGTGACTTACGTAAAATGAAATAATATGCCTATTAAAATTTTTTTAAGTTGTAGTTGTTAGATTAAGACTAAGAGTAGTGACAGGCTCACTGTAAGTGCTTAATCAGTATGGGTTGTTAATGCATGTAAAATTCTAATTAGGGCGGGGGTTGTGGCTCAGTGGCAGAGCGCTTGCCTAGCATGTGTGAGGCACTGGGTTTGAGTCTCAGTACTGTGAATCAATAAATAAAATAAAGGTCCATTGACAATTAAAAAAAAAAAGCTCAAGTAAAGCCCTGATGGTCAGTACTCCAAAATGGCACCATTTTTACCTCCTGAGGTCTCTCTTCTCTATTAGGGATAAGGATATAATTTAGTGGTAGAGCCTAGCATGTACAAGGTTCAGTTCCAAGCACCACAATTAAAAAGAAAAAAAAAAAAGATGACTCTTTGAAATCAGCCAACACTACTATCCCCTCAAGAGTATACCTATCTAGCCGGTGTGGTAGCACACTATAATCCCAGTGGCCTGGGAGGCTGAGGCAGGAAGATTAAAATTCAAAACCAGCCTCAGAAACTTAGCGAGGTCCTAAGCAACTTAGTGAGACCCTGTCTCTAAATAACATGCAAAAAACCTGGGGATGTAGCACAGTGGTTAAATGCACATGGGTTCAATCCCCGACCCTCTCCCCAATTTAAAAAACAAACAAACAAACAAAAAAAAAAAAACAGTATAAACCGATACAACATTCATGAAGTCATGTTTTATATTATAGTATTATAGCTAACTATTTACTGTTAACTATTCAAACATAACTCCATGCAGCATGATTTGGTAGTCTTGAGTAATTTTAGCTTGAAAGCATGAACCAGTAAGTTCATCTGCCCTTTTAACAGTCCATATGTAATTAAGCTATACTTGACAGTCCAATAAACAAATATTCCAAGAGAAAAAAGGTGGTTAAAGATCTACTAAAAGTAATAATGCACCAGATGTGGTGGCACATGCTTGTAATCGCAACAGCTCGGGAAGCTAAGGTAGGAGAATCACAAGTTCAAAGCTAGCCTCAGCAACATTTTTTTTTAAGTTGCAATTTTTAAAATATATGTTTTAGTTGCAAACAAACATGATACATTTATTTATTTATTTTTATGTGGTGCTCAGAGTTGAACTCAGTGCCTCCTATGTGCTAAGCAAGCACTCTACCCCTGACCTACAACCTCAGCAACTTAGGAAACCCCTAAGCAACTTAGTGAGGCCCTAAGCAACTCAGAGAGACCCTGTCCCAAAGCAATAAAAATAAAAAGAACTAGGTATGTGGCTCAATGATTAGGCGTCCCTGTGTTCAATCCCTGATACTACCCCCCCACACCAAAGTAATAATGCTAGTGAAAAGAAATAAGACTTCACATTGCTCCGATAGTACAATTACACTACCTTTTTCTAAGTGTTTGACAGAGATGTCACATGTAAAAAGCTATACGAAAATCTGTAACTGTAAAAGCAATATTTGAAACATCTGCATTCAAAACACAGAAGATATTTTACTAAATGCTAAAATGTATTTCAACTGGCAGTCTCTTTTGCAGCAGAGAAGAAAAAAAAGATATTACTTAATGAGACTTCTCAACTAATCCCACAGATCAGTAAAACTGTGTAACACAAATGATGTTCCAAAAAATTATCTTGTACCTGGGTATTCACAGTTAGTTTAGTATGTCATGAGTTTCATTACAGTTTAACCACATGTAACCAAAAACCTAGTAAATACCAAAGACTCAGCCTAAAAATGAATTTAATGAAGGAGTTTAAAATATCAGAAAATAGCATTATGTGACCAAGACACATAAGCTTGGACTGAGGATATAGCTCAGGGATAGACTGCTTCCCTACTATATACAAGGCCCTTGGGTTCATTCCTCAGTACTAAGAAAATACACACACTCACGTGCTTATCAGGAAAGTACAGTTTTGTTTTGTTTTCACCCACCAGTCTCCAATTCATAGACCCATGTGCTCCTCCTGCCTCAGCCTCCTGAGTAGCTAGGACTACAGGCATTCACAATTCCTGATAGAAAGTAGCATTTTTTTTTCAGTAATTTTAAAAGAAACACATATCTAAATAGAATATGTATAACTGGGTGGAGTGGGCAAGTTTACTTGAAAGTAAACTCCTACTATCAACAATTGTGTCACAGTCTCTGTTTTCTGTGATTGAGAGTTCAGTTGCGGCTCCCCTCTCCTGACTCAGGCAATGGCAAGGCCCTACTGAGGTGGATGGCGCAAGGCATCCATCCTCTGGAGGAGCGCAGTATGTTTCTGTGAATGGGCTGGTTTGTTTTTGTACTCCCTTTAGTAAGTATAGTTGCGACTTCTCATATGACCATTAAGTATGGAGGAAAAAACATGACTTTCCCAATTAATGCAACTACTTCTAAAGAATAAATCTGTTTGCTCTAAATGCAATGATTCAGCTGTGGAACATAAATTGTTAATGTTTAATGAGAAACCCCCTGTAGGAAAAACAGTCAAGGAAGTTTTTGAGAAATTAAATTAAAATCTAGAGAAGAAAAATTAATATTAAGAAGACAGATTAGTGATTAGTACCGGGCAACTTGTTCTTGTTCCTATGAACAATGGTTTGGTACTCTTACTCTTGTTTGATTAAAATTAGTAGCCTCTCTTTTCAAGTTAACCACTTGCAAAAACCGTGGCGTTGTTTCTAGTCAGTAAGTCAAAGAATAGTCAAGGTATAGGCCAATAGTCTGGGACTTTTCTAACTATTATTAAAAGCTAACTAAGCAGAAACAGCTCAAAGCAATATGTGAACTGAAAGTAAAAATGCTTATGAATAAGCCAAGATACATTCTTCTTATCTAATTGTAGCTACGTAATATTTTGTTTCTTTGAATAATGATTCCTGTTTTTTAACCACAAAATACTGTGAGCCTGTCAAAATGAAAAGTATACATGATTAACTTCACAGTAAAGATTGGGATTCAGCACCTTCACTTTTGTGTCTATGTTGTTTCTCCACCCCCTTTCACCGACTCCACTCCTCACCATCCATTCGTCTCCTGAGACCCCCTGCCGGAGCTGGACTCCAACATTCAGTGATGCAGAATATTCCAGTTTCCTTATATAAGTGTACTTTGCTATAAGACTATGATAACTCCATATCAGTGCACTTTAATTAATTAAATGCTCCCTGGGCATTTAGGAGAGGGGAAAAAACAAAACAAAAATCCCAGATATTATACTTACTGAAAAGAGAAAAATTTATTTTAATACAGAACTATATAGAAATCCAAAGATATTATGGTTAACATTTGGTAGAGGCATACACTACACAATGTTTCTGAAGTGATGGTGTCTATTACCTGATGTCGCTTGATGATATCTTTCAATTTGTTAGCCAACTTCAGATCAATGTCTGGAATGAGGTAGATGTTGGGTCTGGTCAGACAATTGTTCTGAGGAAAAAAGAATAAACTTTGAAATTCTACTGGCTTTAAAATAATGTAACAATATTCATCCATTATCACAATGGCAAAAATAGGTGTTCAAAATCACACTTCTGAAGACATGCAGGAGGTATGCCTTTTAAAATTAATTAACTTATTTATATTCTTTTTTGCAGTACTAGGGATTGAATTCAGGGCTTTGTACTTGCTAGGCAAGCACTCTACCTCTACAATATATCCTTAATCTTTTTTTTTTTTGTATTGGGGATTGAACTCAGGGGGACTTAATTACTGAGCTATACCCACAGCCCTCTTTTTATTTTTTGAGACAGGATCTCTTTTAGTTGTTTAGAGCCTTCCTAAATTATTGAAGCTGGCCTTGAACTTGTGATCTTCCTGCCTCAACCTCCCAAATCACTGGGATTATAGGTACATGCCACCACGCCCAGGAAAAAAGATATACTTTGATGTAGAAAATAAAGTTTTATCTCAGAATAAAACACAGGTGATTCAGCAGACCACTTTTAAAACCATCCCGGTCCCTCTCTTCAGCTGGCTATATCTGGACAAAAAATGTTAAGACTCAAGACTTAAAGAAATTCAGCATGTAAAACTCATTAAGGTTCCATACCAGATTGCCAGATTAATCCTCCTAGATAATTTTACCTGCATTTACCTTAAATGTAGTATTTTCACAGCTACATTTTTTATTTGGGAAGTAATTATACCTCTTTCTTTCCATTTCTAATCTTAAGAATGGCAATAAATCATGTTTATTAACTTTTCAACCCATGACCAAAATGAAACCAACAAACAAAACACACCCAATTATTTTGCTACTAACAGTCAATGGACAAACAATAAAAAATTAAATATTAAGCTTAACTTTTGCCAGGTACATTTCACAGGAAGGTAAATTCAATGATCACTATAAACTACTAGTCAATAAAAATATGACAGCAGTCTGGGGATACAGTTCAGTGGTAGAACACATGTCCAGGATGGATGAGGTCCTTGGTTCAATCCCCAGCACCATAAAACAAAAACCAGAAGACATAATGAAGAAAATTAAGCATTCTTTCATCCAAGTTATAATCTAGTTAAGGAAACATATATTTATGGCAGAGTCATAGAACAAATCCAAGGAAAAAAACTATAAAACCAAGTGTCTAGCAGTAGAGAGGGTTATATCAAATGAAGTAAAAAGTGATTTGAATAATGGATAAGGTGACATTAATGAAGAAAAATAACCATAGATTATTTCACAAGAAATGAAACACTGACATAATAGTAACAAACAATTTTTAATAATGACAATAACAGTAACAAACCTAAACAAAAGAATAGAGCAACAGGGCTGGGGATGTGGCTCAAGCAGTAGCTCACTCGCCTGGCATGCAGGGGGCACTGGGTTCAATCCTCAACACCACATAAAAATAAAAAATAAAGATATTGTGTCCACCTAAAACTAAAATAATAAGTATTTTTTAAAAAAAGAGCAATATATTTCAGAAAAAAAATTGTTCTTTTGATGTTTTGAAAGTCCAATATAATCAACTGTAGAACTGAAAGTATATTTAAGAAAAAAATTTAATGCCATGTTATTTATTTATTTTGGTACTGGAGATTTAACCCAGAGACACTTTATCATTGAACTATATCCCCAGCTCTTTTTATTTATTTAGAGACAGGGTCTCACTAAATTACTGAGGGCCTCAGTAATGAGTTGTTGAAGCTGGCCTTGAACATGTGATCCTACTATTTCAGCCTCCCAGTTTGCTGGGATTACAGGCATGGGCCACTGCGCTCAGCATAAAACAAAAAAAATTTAATAATAACCTAATTCTCAAAATTACCTGCACCAACGTTTTCTCAATGTTCATAAACATTTCAACATTACGATCCATTCGTGATGGATTCTGCAGATCAAATCTCCGCCTAAAAGAGAAGAAAATCATTAGAAGATTGTCTCCCTCCTTAAACATAAGGGAAAACTCAATTTTAGAATTCAATGTAAAGAAATTAGAAAACTTGGTAGCCAAAATAGCATTCTACAAAATGTTTAAAAGTATACTCTTAATAGTATAAGAATGTACCATTAATACTTTCATAAAAGAAAAGGCTATTAAACCATATTAAACCAAAGGCCAGCACAAAGGAAACTGAGGACATTCATTCAGGCACAAAATACTGAATTGATGGCAGAATTCCAATGACAAGCTAATTTATAGTTAAATTTTTGAGCGTGGAGAGGCAACAGATGCTAACAAAGTTTTAGGATATCTTTCTGGAGGAATCACAAACCACACTTTGACACAGTTCCCAGAACTTTTTCTCTTTTTTTGCTAAGTGTCTAGACTCTCATCCCCTGCTTTCTACAAAGGAAGGGTTTGTTTAGGATCCAGCTCTCATTTATTGAAGCTGCTTTTATCTTCAACATCAGTAGATGACATTTCTGTTTAGGTCACATTTGCCTTTCTGTTGGTCAATAAAAACATGAGAGCAGTCTGGGGATACAACACCCTGAATTTTTTTTTTTTTTTTTTTTTGAGAACCATTTCTCTATAACTCCATTCCTGTGGATTGCAGATTGGATGGGGTTCCTTATCATTTTCCAGAGGCAGCACACATGATCAAGGCCTGACTAATCAGGAATGGGCAGGTAAGCCAAATGGATCTGGTCCACATGGATCCAAGGATCTATTCAGGAGGCAGGGAGACGAGCAACCTTCTTCTTTGTTCTAACACCACCTTGCAGGGTGACAGCTTAGAGTTGCCAGGTGGAGAAGGAAAGTGAAGCCACCAGATTGAAGAAAGAACTAAGAGTTGAAGAAACAGTCTTAATAATATCATTAGGGTTCCTGGATCAAATAAAGCCTGAAAATATCATCATCTTTTCAACAAAACAAACAAAATCCTTTGACTACAACATGTTAACTCAAGTGTCTGTAATTTTCAATAGGAAAAGTCATAACAGATACTGCATCTCACAATCAGCCTATGGACCTTTATGTTATCTAGGGTAGCTTGTACATAGTTCTTATAAATTTTTTTATAAATTATTTTTCTTTTAAAACATATTTTCATTCATTTCTTCTTTAAAAAAATATAATCAACCTTTGTGATTTTCCAGAAAATAAGAGATGATAAAAGCTATCATAGTTGAAAAAGAAGTACTCTATTTTTCTTAAATCAAAGATATTTTAGAGGGCTGGGGTTATGGCTCAGCAGTAGAGTGCTCATCCAGCACATGCAAGGCGCTGGGTTTGATCCTCAGCACCACGTAAAAATGAATAAAATAAAGGCATTGTGCCCAACTGCAACTAAAAAAATTAAAAAAAAAAAAAAGATATTTTATATCATACAGAAAAGAAATCCTGAGATCTAATGGCAGGGAATCACCATACTATCCTTCAAGAATAAAGAAAGAGTGCTGGGTACAGTATGCATGCCTATGATCCCAGCTATTCAGGAAGCTAAGGCAGAAGGGACCACAAATTCAAGGCCAGCAAATGAGCAAGACCCTGTCTCAAACTAAAATAAAAAGGGCTAGGGATGTAGCTTAGAGGCATAAAGCCCCTTGAATCAATTCCCAGTACTACAAACACGCACACGCAAAGAATAAGGAAAGTTTATCTACATGTGCTTAAAATTCAATTGTTCAAATTCAACAGTGTCTTGTGTTCTTTTCAATCAAGGAAAGCATCTTGGATATTCTGGAACAGTTTGTAAGATACATGATATAAAGAGATGAGAGTTTCTTCAAATTTCTAACTGACTACAGTAATGTTCAATAGTAGAGACTAGAGATTTAGCTCAGTTGGGAGAGTGCTTGCCTTGCATGCACAAGGCCCTGGGTTCAATCCCCAGCCACACACACACACACACACACACACACACACACACACACGAGTAGAAATTAATTATCCCATAATCTGTGATCATGTGAGAGTTACAAGTATTCCAAACCTTTAAAGTTACCTGTAAGAGGTACATGATCTATGTAAGGGCAAATTCAAGTGCCCATTCTTTTTTCCACAGAAAGTCCAAGAGGCATGCAATAGAAAGCCACAGCTATCAAGAATTAAAGATGCACAGAATGCTTGAACTGACACAACTGACAAATCAGAGTCACCCCTTTCCACTGTGATCCCATCATATGGGAATACTCACATAATTTTTCTAAACTCTATAGCTTTTCCACCATGATATCATCCTCTTAATGGGCTTGACACTAACATTCTAAAATCATCCCATGAGTCACTTCTATAAAACTATTCCTGTCTTCTTCTTTCATGTTCTTAAAAAATTCTGAGCATAGTGATATTACAGCCTCATAAGAGAACAATCTTGTTGGTAAGAGAACTCATTACATGCCTTGGGGACAAGAAACAGGTTCATTAAAAAGTGTTTCCATGTAGCCCTAGTGGCTAGCAGAAAGTATGGCTATATAAGCAAACTACTAAATACATTAACATTTACTATGATTGAGAACTAATATATTACAACTTTATTATTGATGAACTAGGATAAGACTGAAATGTATCCTAAAATAACTACAACTAAGAAAGTAAGAAAAGGATTTTAAAAGTGCATAAAAATAGATACTTTTAATATTTTTTTTATATTTATTTTTTAGTTTTCGGCGGACACAACATCTTTGTATGTGGTGCTGAGGATCGAACTGGGCCGCACGCATGCCAGGCGAGCGCGCTACCACTTGAGCCACATCCCCAGCCAGATACTTTTAATATTTACCATAGGTTTAAAAATAGATTTTGGGTTTGGTTGTAGCTCAGAGGTAGAGCACTTGCCTTGTACATGTGAGGCACTGGCTTTGATCCTCAATATCACATTAAAATAAACAAAATAAACATACTGTGTCCAATTATAACTTTAAAAAGTACTAATAAAAAATACAAAGGTATTGTGTCCATCTACAACTAAAAAAAAGAGAGAGTTAAAAAATAGATTTAGGGGCTGGGGTTGGGGCTCAGTGGTGGCATGCTCGCCTCGCATGCATGAGGCACTGGGTTCGATCCTCAGCACCACATAAAAATAAAGACAATAAAGTCCATCAACAACTAAAAAAAAATAGATTATATTATAAATACAAGGGACCTCTATCTTTAACTTTACATTGATTTACATTGATTTTTCTTGTATGCAGAACTTTACTTTTACTACTTGTTTAGTTTTGAATATCCCCTTTCCACAACTACGTCTAAGGAAAGGGTAGGTTAGATCCCAAGCAATTTCCTCTTACAGGGCAAAAGATTATTACCCAACCAGGTGAGAAAATCCTATTTTAGCCGACAGCCTCCCACTGGTTCTTTGGGGGGGGGGGGTGATATGTGAGTATCTCCCCTTCATAAAGAAAATGACACTCACAGGGTCTTGATAATAGAAGAAGTATACCTAGAAGCCATCACTTATAGGATTACTTACACAGAACTTATTTATTTTCAAAGAAACTGCTTCCTTAATAAAATATTAGAATAGGGTTGAGTGGAATTATCTCCATTAGAAATCTGAGAAATAATCTGAAAGCATTCATTAAAAAATTTAATATAGGACTGGATGAATTTATCTGTAGACAAAGATTAAAAACTAAATGAATCTGTTAATAGAAAAAAAAAATTTTTCTCTGCTTTTCCAATTGTTGATAAATTTCTCTCTATAAAAGTATTCCAAGACTGGGGTTGTGGCTCAGTGATAGGACGCTTGCCTTAGCATCACATATAAATAACCAAAATTAAAAAAAAAAAATCCATTTGCAACTTAAGGAAAAAAAGTATCCCAGTTAACAAGAAAATAACAAAGTAACACCCTTTAAGGATGAAAAATTTATAAAACATATCTATTCCAACTTAAAAATTAAACATCCATGTGTTTCCATTACAAAGAGAAACAACCTAAAATTATATACCTCCTCATGAAGGAAAACCACATCATCTATGAAGTACTATGACAAAAAGAATTCAACTGAATGTAATCCTCTGGATCTAACCCTCAGTTGACTAAAATTTAGAAGACCACTAAATTGATTTCCTGCAAAATCCCAAACATGAACAATCCTATAAGCTAACTTTAAGGTGTGTATGTATTAAAAAAAAAAAAAAAAGCAAGGAAAAGAACGAAAAGAAAGATGGCTGTAGGGGCTGGGGATGTGGCTCAAGCGGTAGCGCGCTCGCCTGGCATGCGTGCGGCCCGGGTTCGATCCTCAGCACCACATACCAACAAAGATGTTGTGTCCGCCGAGAACTAAAATAAATAAATAAATAAATTCTCTCTCTCTCTCTCCCCCTCTCTTTAAAAAAAAAAAAAAAAACAACCTTTAAAAAAAAAAAAAAAAAGAAAGAAAAAAGAAAAAAGAAAGATGGCTGTAGATTTTTACACACTTAAAGAATCTTGGCAACCAAACACAATGAATAGACTACAGACAGACTCAAATAAGATAAAAATCATCCTGGATAAAATTAGGGAAACTTGAACACTCTAATAATTGTTCAGGGCTGGGGATGTGGCTCAAGCGGTAGTGCGCTGGCCTGGCATGCGTGCGGCCCGGGTTCGATCCTCAGCACCACATACAAAGATGTTGTGTCCGCCGAAAACTAAAAAATAAATATTAAAAGAAACTTCTCTCTCTCACTCTAAAAAAAAAAAAAAATTTCAAAGATTATTGTTAATTTTACTTGTGATGGTAACAATAGCATTATTATGCTTTTTAAAAATTTCTAAAAATTTCGATTTCAGAAATAGTCAGCAAAATATTTTTTTAATTTTTATTAGTTATTGATGGGCCTTTATTTGCATTTATATGTGGTGCTGAGGTTTTTTAAAATATATTTTTAGTTGTAGATGGATAGGATACCTTCATTTTATTTATTTTTATGTGGTGCTGAGGATCAAACCCAGTGCCTCACACATGCTAGGCAAGCATACTACCAATGAGCCACAACCCCATCCCTTAGCAAAATATTAATAGGTGAAATTATATAAGCCAGGCGCTGTGGTACATGACTACAATTCCAACTACACAGGAGGCTAAGGCAAAAGAATCCAAGTTTAGGGATAGCCTGGACAACTAAGCAAGACCCTGTCTCAAATAAAAAAGAGATGGGCTGGTGATGTACCTCAGTGGTATAATACCCGTGGGTTCGATTCCAAGTATCAAAAAGAAGAAAAAAAAAAAAGAAAAAAATTATGTAAAGATAAAAATGTATGATGGTAACTGATGATTCACTGTATTATTCTTTGTAAACAGGTTTTCCACAATAATTAAAATGGTTTGCTAAATAATGATTTAATAATATAGACTTAAGCTTTCCAGAATCATCAGTTTACTATATAAATAAAAGAAGCATTTAAAATGCATGGATATTAGAAAAATTTTAAATAAAGAAATCAGATCAAGGGCTGGCTGGGGTTGTAGTTTATTGGTAGAGCACTTGTCTCGCATGCATGAGGCCCTGGGTTTGATCCTACACACCACATAAAAATAAATATAAAAATATTGTGACCATCTACAACTAAAAAAAAAAAGAAAGAAATCAGATCAATTAAAGATTTTATTTTTAAATTACCAAGAATTTTTTTTTTAAGAGAGAATGAGAGGGGCTGGGGATGTGACTCAAGCGGTAGCGTGCTGGCCTGGCATGCGTGCGGTCCGGGTTGGATCCTCAGCACCACATACCAACAAAGATGTTGTGTCCGCCGAGAACTAAAAAATAAATATTAAAAATTCTCTCTCTCTCTCTCTCCCCTCTCTCACTCTCTCTTAAAAAAAAAAAAGAGAGAGAGGGGGACAGAGAGAGAGAGAATTTTAATATTTATTGATTTTTTCTTAGTTCTCGGCGGACACAACATCTTTGTTTGTATGTGGTGCTGAGGATCGAACCCGGGCCGCACGCACGCTAGGTGAGCGCGCTACCGCTTGAGCCACATCCCCAGCCCAACCAAGAATATTTAAGGCTAGATTTTTAATGTAGCTCAGTGGTAGAGTACTTGCCTTACATATGCAAGGCCCTGGATTCCATCTCCAGCACCTCACCATCCTAAAAAATAAATCTTAAAAAACAAAAATATTTATTTATTTATGTATTTATAGTTGAGCCACAGCTCCAGCCCCCATAAAGAATATTTAAGTAAGTTGTTTTCCTTTTAGAATATGAAAAGATAGTTGAGCTTGCCCATAGAAATGCAAATGAAGGGTATAATTACAAAATATTTTTAAACTATCTCAGGCAAAGATCAAAACATAAGCAAATATAAAATACCAACAAATACTCTGGTGGCTAGTAAAAGGGGATAGGGCACACCATCAATACACTTTTATACATATAAATTAGTACTATTAGAACATGATTTGGTGACCACTGTGTCCCCAAAGCTCATGTATGAGAAATAATCCTAGTGCAACACTAATGGGAGATGGGACCTGATGAGAAGTGATTAAAGTCCTTATCTCAGGAGAGGGTTAGTTGTCTTGAATAGACTTGGGAAAGGGGTACAGAAGTAAAGTTAGTATGTCACACTCCCAAAGGGCCGTCAACTGCACAGAGATAATTAGAGCCTGGAAATGGTATCTATATAAGGAAAGAAAGGGGGTCTACTATAAGTTGAAAAAATTATATTCAGTTACATGTGTGAATACTGGAATAAGAAAACAGGTTTGGATCTTTATCACATTATTTAAAAATTTTTAAAAGCTAGATGATCACAGGAGCCAGGTTTTTAAAAATATATTTTTAGTTGTAGATGGACAGGATACCTTCATTTTATTTATTTTTATGTGGTGCTGAGGATTAAACCCAGTGCCTCACACATGCTAGGCAAGCACTCTACCACTGAGCTACAACCACAGCCCACAGGAGGTAGTTTTTTTAAATATGATAGTACAATAGATAAGTCTTCTCAACTTAAAAGACAGACACCAAAGCAAGGCTTGATAGTGCACACCTGTAATCCCAGTTACTCAGGGGGCTGATGCAGAAAGATTGCAAGGTGGAGGTCAGAATGAGCAAGACCTTGTCTCAAAATGAAATTTTTAAAAAGAGCTGGAGATGTAGCTTAGCGTTAAAGTGCTTACTTAGCCCCATGTTCAATCCTCAGTATTGCTAAAAAAGGGGGGAGGGTATATTTAGGTACTTCAAATCTTAAATCAATCTGCAATCTCTTTACAAATGTGCCAGTAATTACCAGGTAGTCCAACTGATGATCATATACATAAACTTCAGTTAGGCAAAAATGCCCTTGAGCTATGGAATAACAATAGCTATGGATAACAGTACAGGAGAACAGTTGTGTGGGGGAAGTGTCCAAAGTCAGTAAGAAGCTTTGTTTGAAGAAGGCAGATAAAAACCCTGGCACCCAGTTAACACATATAGCTAAACCCAAGGCCACCAGAAGTCATTAAAACTGGGCTGGGGATGTAACTTAGTGGCAGCTATGCTAACTACTAGCTCTGAATATAATGTACCTTAGAAGTTCATAACATACACTAAAACATTCACAGTGAGTGTACCTTCTAATTTGCTAAAAATGTACACCTATTTGTTATCTATATTCAATTATGTATAAGAAGTAACTTAGAGGGACTGGGATTGTGGCTCAGAGGTAGAGTGCTCCCCTAGTACATGCGGGGCCCTGGGTTCCATCCTCGGTACCACATAAAACTAAATGAATGGTATAAAGGTATTGTGTCCAACTACAATTAAAAAAATAAATATTAAAAAAAAAGAAACAACTTATAAAGACCTTACATGATCATGGATAGGCAGAATTAATATTATTAAAATAGCTATTCTGCTGGGTGCTATGGTACATGACTGTAATCCCAGTGGCTTGGGAGGCTGAGTTAGGAGTATTGTGAGTTCAGCCAGCCTGAGCAATAGGGAGGTGCTAAGCAACTCAGTGAGACCCTGTCTCCAAATAGATTCCAAACAGGGCTGGGGATATGGCTTAGTGGTTGAGTACACCCTGAGAGTTCAATCCCCTGTACCAAAAAAAAAAAAAA